GGGTACACTATTAGGCCAACATCTGCTTTTAAAACCTAATAAAAGAACAGGGTTTATCCTCCTCTCCTGACTCTTTTTTTAAACATCAAAAATAATTTGTATTATGTCTGCTCATTCAAATATTGGATTAAATTCCTAGTCAATTATTATCTGCTCCAAACATACTTCTCTAACTGAAATCTATACGAGATTTTAATTTTAAGAGTGCACACACAGATAAATTCTCTGAGATAAAAAATGGAGGAAAACAGTCTCTCGCTGTTTTCTCTTTCTGTGGCCTTGGCAGAATCCAACACAACAACCTCCAGAACACAGGCTACTTGCCATTGAGTATGAGAGTCATACCTGGATCCTACATTGTGTTATACCATTCAGACACATAAAGAATCAGCTCAACATCCAGGGCAAAACAGAGGCAAATAATCTTTCAAGTCCTACTTCCTTGGTGCAGTTCCCTGCAACAATTTGTTGGCAAGAATATGCTGGGATCCTCCACTTGCTGGCAGCTACCTGGACTTCTAGGGAGCCAGGAAACAGTTTTAAGTATGAAGGCTGCAAATACCAACAAATTGTAACCAAGTAGGAAGAGATCAGAAAGTTTGAGTTTAAACCTCTTTGCCTTAAGGAGGTAGCTGCTAGTGAGATGGTCTGACTTCACTATCCTGTGGCTTTAACCAATACCTGAATAAGATAACGTATACTGAGAACTTTCTCTTGGATTTTATTTTCTGAGCTACTACTGAACTACTTCTGAGCTACTACTACTCCATGGTCTGCCATAGGGAGTCTGAGATCAACTCTGTTTGGCCTCAATATCTTCAAATTTTGCTCTGTCCATGCTAGAATTAGTATGAGTGGAATATGTACAATGATGAAACATGATTATTAAAAAGGAATTTGAATTCTGTGGCCATTCTCAGTCATGGCAGTAGTGTGTCACACGATTCATTCAATTCAATAGTGTCCCGTTCATTCAATGGGACCAAAACTGAGATGGCAAGTGCACAATAATGAAATCCTGATGATGGTTTTATGTGAGGAGATGGATGTTTTAAACAAACATTCGCAACAAGAAGGAAAACTGCATTAATTTCCTATTTGTTTACCACTGAGGATTTTTTAAAAATTAAAATGTCCTTAGTAAAGTTTTTAATCCTACAAATGCTACTGCTAGCTTTATTTCTTCTGTTGTCCAAAAAAGCTATGCTATTTTCTTTTTTCCTCTCTCAGATAAAAACAATTGCCACACATTGCTTCACTGTGATGTGATAATCTTATTTACTAATAGAATTTTCTAACTAGTTACGCCCTCCTCTTTTTTATTTTTTTAAATAGTTTGTTCTGTTACCTCACTTCTTGTTGCCTTCATAGCAAACTCTAGTTATCTACATAATATTTACTTTTTCTTTTCTTTTATTCAATCCTCCTTGTGTTAAATAAACTCCTTTCTTGACTCTTGACTCTTGTCTTTTCAAATCTCAGTGGCATATCATATAAATATTTCCATTTTTATTCCCTCAAATCCAGTGGTGCACAGTCTGTAATCATGTTCCACAAGCTGCTAAAATTAGCTTGAGCAATTGTATTCATTGGAATGTGGACTATCAAATGCAGAGATTCTTAAAAGTTCCTTATTCCCATTTTCCTTTGCACTCATTGTTTGTTATGGCAGCATTTGTGAAGGTCATCCTAACCTTACGGGAGAACCAGACAATCCTAATTATATTTTTTTTTATTTCTTTGCTAAGTTAAATAGCTCCCCATAGTGTTACAGCAATCTTTCTGACAAAAGACTGCCCTCAATCTTCAAGAATGGAAACAGCATATTTTCAACCCTATTTTGCATTGTATGCTTTTAAAATGAGCTGAACCAATATTCCTAGAGGTAAAAGTTTGTTGTTTACACACAGAATAAAGACCTCAGAGAAAAAACAAGCTTTCTATGGCCGCTTGCCCTGAAACTGTCTCTGAAAGATCACCTCCAGGGGTGACAGAGCATTTCAGCTTCTGTGGTTCATTCAACCTTGTGGCTTTTTGATGAGCTTCTAATGAAGCAGTACATTTCTGTTTTCTCCTAAGTAACAGCAGCCTTGTCTGTCTGGTAGGCAGGTCACTGAACACCCAGGATGGGGCAATGACTTCCAGTTGTTACTGTACTTCTGCACATGCAACTTTGTCTTTAAAACTCCTCAGTGTGAAGGACTAGCACAAAATAAAATTCTCTTACTGCAGGTCATCACAGGAGCTCAGACTTCACGTGCTTACTGTATACTTTAACTTGCTGTAGTCCTGTAGCTTTCAGTTCCTCCTGAACAAATTCCTTCCTACTACTTCCCAGTCACCTTCAATTGTATCTGGATTTGTCAGTGACCCTTCACATTTTCAACGCTAAACCAACAGCTGCAGATGTTTCCATCTGTCTTTCGCTGGACTCCTCACTGCCTTATTGCTCCTCACAACTTACAGTTTTGATGATTGCTTTGAGATCTCAGACTCTCTCACATCATTAGTATCTACCTGAGCTCGCTGCATACCAGCAACAGTCATGCTGCTCAACAACAACAAAAGGTAAAGCAATTCAACTGAACTTGTCAAAAAATCTCATTCTCCCATTAAAAATTTCTTGAATGTAGCTGAACCTTTTCTTGATTCTATTTTCATCCTAATTATAGGTATCTGGAGTATCACTTGCTTTTACTGCAATATTTTCTGCCTTTCTCTGTCAAATCCCTCTCCCATGAGATCCTTGCACCTGAGATCCTGCATCACAGGAAATACTTACAGTGTAAAAAATACAGAACTCAGTGTAGGCTCATTAAAAGCTTTGTTAAAGAGCTTTGTTTTGTGAGCTTTATATTTTTCAATTCTGTGTTAAAAAAAATGAGACATATGTAACACAATACACTGTTTCTTTAAAGAGAGTTTCTTTCTTTAAAGAAAGTTTTACTTGGATGTTCATAAACAGTATGAATAGCAAAGCCACAGCAAAACCCAAATGATGTGTATAGAAACCTGAAGACTGAACCAGGTGAAACAAACACACCCAATATTAGGGTCCCTTTGCTCAGCAGATAACAAAATATCATAGAATCCGCTAAACTAAACCATCCAAGCGTGCTAAGATCTAATTTCCATTATATTCATACAAGATCTCTGTTGTATTTCTATCAGGAAGACTTTTCTCCTCATTTGACTTAGGATTATACACTTAGAAGAGCTGGTTTCTGCCTGGAACATGTACAGGTGACATATTATAAGGCCAGTTGAATGTATTTTAAAGTTAAAATAGCTCAGTTATTCATCATTCAGGTGTATCAACTACCACAGTGAAGCAGTTTAGCTATTTTCCTTTCCCTTTTTTTAATCTTTCCCACTTTTTTGGGGGGGGCCATATGTCAGCTGAAAGGGATGCTAAACTGCTGAACTTTATGTTTGTTTTGAAACTGTCTTTTAATCCACTCTGAAGTCTCATCCAGATTTTGAAGAACAAATAAGCAAAAGAACTGGATTCCACCGTGATTAATTACAATGGAAATCAGTCCCAGCCTAAACATTCACTGAGTCCTTAATCCTCATTAATATTTTCACTAAACTTGTATGAAAGCCAACTTCACAAAGAAATATATAGTATTTTTATTAACATCATTGTCATCTTTTGCAAGTGCTTCCTTGGGGGAAAGAACAGAAAAAAAAGTTTTCCAGTGTGTGTGCGTGGGGACAGTGTTGCTAACAGGAACAGTTAAGTACGGGGTAAGCCACAGAAATAGGCAAACACACATGAGCTTTGTTTGCTATGCACAGGCCAACCAGGGCAGCCAGCACTTACGTGGAGCACGAGGGCTGTGTGGGGAAGCGGAGAGCAGCAGCAGGTGACGCTGCAAAGACACTCGGCACAGTGCATGGGCAGTGAGATGGACAACCCAGTCTCAGCTCATTTTCTTTGCTGAAAGGCTGGCTCATCTAACAGCATGTCCACTTTGCTTTTAATTCTCACCACATGCAGGAGTTTCTTTCTTAGTATGTTGGGGAAAGTGAATATGCTTTCAGCACATGCTACTTCATAGCAACTGATTACTGCTTGTAACAAATGCTTTTGATCACCAGCTAGAACAGTTCCACATAAAAAGAACGTCTGTGTCATTTTTCACTCACTGTTGTTGTCTCCTCTTTGTCCTAACTTCTCAGAAATGCTAAAAAGATGGATGAAAGTTGGTCAAAAAGCCACATATAGTGAATTACATTAAATACCATACTCTTACATTCTTCAAATCCTTGTCCTTGTCACAGTAATTTCAGTAGTCCCTGAACATTAGGAAAAAAGCTAGAAAGATCATCATCCCTTAAACACTATGCTTACTAAAATGCAAAATGAAATTGCTTATACTCAGGTGCCTGAGTTCAGTCCTGTAGTTCTATTAAACTACTGTAAGACTGTCTTATAAATGGGCTGCCTTTCCTTCCTAGGTGAAGTTAACCTAGTTTATAACTATTTTGCAGCCCACAGTGCCAGAGTAAGCAAATGTTTTGTTTTCAGGGCTGCAGAAGGAGGGTGTACAGCACAACAGAGAAAGACTGCAAGAGATGAAAATCTTTCAAGTTATTGTTTGCTTTATGAATAAATTCAGTTACTCACACAACTAATATTTTTTATGCAAGTTCATAGTACCCTATGGAATTTATGCAGTCTCTGTTTGGGACACCTGATCTGACTTCTCTGGCTAGAAATAAATACCATCATCAGAGGAGCTCTAAAGCACCATAACAAATTTTTCTTCTCTTACTGCAAAGGATAGATGAAGTTTTCTAGAATACAGTGAACCATTCCACACAACAACATTTCACAACATTTATATGAAAAAGCATATATACCAATGATAAATACACACTCAAGCTACTGTGTATCAGCAATGCACGCCTCCATTCTAAGGACCAAGTTCATAGATCAGCATACATAAATATATGCACATATTTATTCTGAAAAGTTAATAGCTATTACTCACGTGACTTCCTGTTCGCTCGTGATCGCTTCCTCTCTCTAGGCACCGCTCGCTGGCTTGGCACTTGGGTGGCAGACTTTACAATGCGATCCATGATCTCATCTGCTGCATCATCCGTTGCATTTGGTGAATCATCGTTGCCAGCGTTCCATGAACCAATACGGCCTAGAAAAGGCAAATAAACGAATTTGAAAGAAAACAGAAGGCTCTTGCATCACTTTGGTTTTGCAATTGGCTTTTTGTAGAATTAACAGCAGGCAATTCAGTCATTGCTACTTTAAATTGGTCAAAGTAGAAGACTGCCTAATGTAAAACATTTTAAAATAATACCTTTGATTCTCTGCTGTATCAGCAGAGACTAGAGAGCTCAAATACAATTATAGCTTTCTACTCTCCTCAGCCTCAGAATCCTAGCCTTGACCATACAACTGGCAACGGTTTGCTAGAGTCTGTCTAGGAGCTGGGGACAGATGGAGTAATGTGTGACCATTTTTCCCCACCTCTTATTACACACAGACTTGAAGACATGTCAGACAAACTGACACAAAACTGTAAGAGTGGTCCTCCACACCAAAAAGAGAGTAATGATCTCTATATCACAGGCTTGCAAAGAAGACAAAAGAATTGGTTTGACATGTCCTGTTGCCCCTTTCACAATGAAGAATTTACTGTCTCATCACAAAATTGTATCTGTCCTAGTGCAACTGCATGTGCTGCGTTACATGCTGAAAAGCAAGAGTTGTTGGCAAGCTGAAAAGCTGTATGAGTAATTTTGGTTAAAACCACAAACAAACAAGTGAGCCATGTTTCTGAACCCAGGGCTCTGGCACTCCTTACTCCAGAGAGCTCTCTGTCAGATGCATCTTTCTATTCCTTCACTGATGACTACTGGTCAGTGTGTTCTTCGTTTCTGAATTAGTTGAAGGCACTATATGTTGGGAGACCACTGACAGTAAACTTTGCAAAACAGTGCAATAGTAAATAGTGTAATAGTAAAATTACAAACAGCAGACCACTCTGCATCACTTCCTTGATGTCAGTAAAAAACAACTTTGATTAGCAATCCATTCCCCTCCTTTTTTCCGGCTCTCATCACAAGTGGTTCTCTTATGATAATGATCTGAACAAGCTTCTGTATGGCACACTTGCTCTCTACCTCTGTTGTTCTTCAGGGGAACACAGACTGACTCTTACTATCAGGACACTTCAGCGTTACTTCAGCTGCTCAGCCTGCTGCAGAGCAGCTTGAATTATTTCATCTACGTACTTCAGCTACTTGGTTTGCTTCTTAAACAGCAACTGTGAAACCTCTAAACCGGACGGGATCAGGGTTTAAAACTTTGTAAGTGCACACAGAAAAATCCCTGTGAGTAGTAGATGCGTAGAGGTCATGTCAGTGGTGCTCAAAGGAATGAGGAAAATGTAGAATATCCAGATGTGAAGGAAAAGAAATGCCAGAACCGAAATGGTGCATGACCTTTACTCAAAAAAAGATCTTCCAGGTATCATTTGTGAAACCACCTGTGTTGTACGAGGGGAAGGCAAAAGAAGGAAAATGAACAGGTGAGCCCAGTGTCTGTAAAATGATTTACCAACAAGGAAGTCGTTTACTGGCTGCTCTAACAAAGAGGTATACCAGTGAATCATGTCCTGGACAAGAAATGGAGATACCTCACTGCCAAGGATGGTTGAATCAGTGAACCAGTGAACTACTGGAAACAGTAGCTCGATTTGAATTTTCATTTAATCTATGTCAGCTTTCAGAAATGACCAGGGCTGACACTCGGAAACAGCAAAGGCCGCAGGACTCAGGGGAAGAGATAGTAGGACAGCAGAAATGCATGCTCCTTGGCTGCATTAATCCAGCAGCACATCGGTTTAGCAGGAGAGTGGTTAGAAGATCAACCATCATTTTCTTGTCCCTTTTCCACTCCTTAATGATTCCTAATAGGTTGCAAGGCCCCTTTACTTCATTTCCAGTAGCTGCTTTGTACTTGTGCAAAAATAAGAAGAAAATCACACTGTGTAGACTCCGTTTTGATTTCACATCAAAAAAGAGGAATAAAAACTGGGGTTTTAGAGGGCAGCCAAGTTTACAGGCAGACAGTGAGGATTTCTGCAGACTTTTATTCTTTATGTCCCCTCATGGTTCCTTGGCTGCAGTCAACACGTCCAACTTCAGACAAAGGCTTCTATGCCTCAAATCACCAACTCCAGGATGGAAATGTCACTGTTTTTTTCCCCCTTCCCTTTGACCGTCTGCATCCCAGGTGGTATGCAAGGCTCTGGGCTGCCCCGGGGCTACTGGGTCCCAACAGAGGTGCCCACGGCAGAAGCCCAGTGCTCACCTCGGCTGGCTCTGCTCCGTGTGCGGACGCCCAGTGCGGCGGTGCTCTCCCCTCCAATGGAGGAGGTCTTCAGCACTGCCTTCATGTGCTCGTGCTCAGCCGCGTCCTCAGCGTACTGCAAGCCCTGGGGCTGGCTCTGCGACGGCGGTGAGCTGCTGGAGAACTTGCCAGTCTGCAGGAGGAAAACCAATTTGCCATGACATAGCTCACGTGGGTTTTGGCTCTACAAAGCATAAAAGGCAATGAAAACAGGCCAGCATTCAACCCACAAACTGCATGGAGAAAAACACAGGGTCCTTGTCCTCACAAACCCATGTAGAGCACATATGCGCTCCAAAGAGCAAAAACAAACACTGGCTCCTCTCTGGCACTATGCATCCTCTAGCAGAAATAAAACAGAAACAAGCTGGCACCGAGGAGCAAACATAATGAGAGGAAAAAACAGATACTTTAGCTGGAGCTTTATGATAGTTTTGACCTTGTATCCAAGATTATAAAGTATAAAGCAAAGACTTGCTTGGAAACCTTCAACCCCAGCAGGGCCTTGTCTAGGCTCAGATATTATACTGAGACAGCAGGAGACTTTACACAAATAAGATCTTTTTTTCCTGTATCATCACCTTTCAGTAACTGGACAAAGCTGGCAAAGTAGTCTATGAAACCACCTTTTCGCCCTTACAATACTATATACAACATTTTCAAATTGCTTTAAAAGACAAAGTGCAGTATATTTTAAATATACTAAACATACACTGAAAAACCTAAAACCTAAAATAACCAGCCAAATTATTCTATGGCCAAAACACAAAAGTTGCAGTCAGCAGTTAGGAGAACAAAACAAAACCTTAAACAGCTTTTGGTATCTGCCCTTTGCTTGCCTCGCCTCCCTGTGATTTTTTTATCACCAGGACAACTGCATAACAGTGGCTAAATTAGCTGCAAGCACATAACACATCAATGCAACTGGAGGCACCAGTTACTGAAGAAATCCAGCCAGAAATATAGCCAAGTATACCAAAGCACAAACTGACACTTTCTAAGGAGAATTTTTGTAGTAAAATAAAAGTTTATATGACATTTTGTATTTTTAAAGTGGGTGGAGTAGCCTGTTTTTTTTTTTCCCTTCAGCAGTTTATACCTACAAAAGGCTATAATGATATTTACTCCATTCTTATCTATAGAAAGACTAAAACAAATTTAAAATACAATTTACCCAGAAAAGACACGTTCTCCACAGCGAACAGGCATTAGTACTTTTATGCTTTTGATTTTTTCAGTCATATCAATCCAGCATTAGAAACTGAAATAGTTTTTTTTTTTCTTTGTAACTTCTGTTATTTCCTAGAGATTTAGCACAGACAAAGGAAGGCTTGATGCCTCCTATCCTTCTGTTCCATGATGACAGCATTAGTGATGAACTTGATGTGACCAAGTCAGTCAGTTAAAGCATGCAAACTCTCAAAGCCTTTCTTTGAGATGATGGTAAGTTGCAGGAAAAGAATCAGTCCTACTTTCAGGGCTTAGACTGAGTCCACAGAACTGTTAGACAGCAAATTGAAAATATGTAATCTGGAAATCAATGATAGGATGATGCTATTTTAACATAATGACTTTTCAAAATAATAGCAAGTTACCTGAGTATCAAAATAATAATCCCTACAAGGCACTGAGCCTAATATACTAGTATGAGATTTATTTTTGAAAGAGAATTTAATATATATATAATTTACATAAATCCAATACTTACAAGAAAATTAGAATATAAATTTATAATTTTACATGTTAGCTTAAAACATTTAGATGTGGAAAGTGTGCAAGTGCTAGAATATGTGAAATTAAATGTGAAATTAAAAGACAGAAAAATACTAAACTTCTATTAAAGTGCATGCCGTTTTTACCTACAATGAGGCTAAACAACGTCCATTTTAGAGAATAAAAAAAGGATGATGCCTACCCATAGCTATTAGAATTGACAAACGTTAGTAAAATGTTGTCATAAGAAAACTCATTTCTGTAATTTTATTTCTGCAGTTCATATTGTATGGCATAAATCATGACTAGGGGAGAAGGCCTATAGGCAGAAGTTTTATTCCACTTCTTTACTTATCAAATATTTATGTAAATTAATACCCAAATCCTAGCCTCTTGAGCTACCAATCTTGAGACTATCATTATGAAACACTGAGTATTAAGCCATGTTTTTTTATGGTTGGACAACCAAACAAGTGCGAATGCTGAACAAAAATCACAATGCCCAAGAGATGCTTCCAAACCACCTGATTGCTTTGTTTTGTATATAGATGGTGTAGATGGTGTACTATAGTACTTATAGTTCAACCTTCAGGACCACTTTAGAGTAAATACATGAACTATTACATGTCTCACCTCTTTGGAGACCAATTTATCTTCCTCATAAATCACACAGCAAAGACAGACTCATTATCATTTACTTTTGTCCTTATAGTCTGATGATTTAAAATAATAATATTTGGATTTAAACAGCTTCATATTGATGGTGAAATTATCATGGAAATCCTTAACGCAGAATAACTGATGATACCCAAAACATTCAGATCAGTTATGTTTTGGGTACTTGAGATATTCTGCAGTTTACCAAACAGACACTGAAGAAAAGAAACTTAAAATAATTAAGGCTCTAATCAGCATATCCTTATTTGAGAGAGCCTTTAAGCAAATGGTTAAAACTAACTGTAAAAACACATTCTTACAATAGAGCCAAAAAACTTAGAAAAATGTCATGGTTCACAGTCCAGTAGAGCAGATGGAGCTGAACAGTCCATACTAACTGGGTTAGAAATTAGATGTCACAGCACACAGGAGACACGAGAATGACATGCTCTTTCAGAGAACCATACCTCAGCATCCTCCTCTTCATCGGTCTGCCAAAAGAGACAAAGGACAGGGTGGAGAAGGACAAACAGCAATATTTAGGAAGAACAGTATGCTCAAGCCATGACAGAGTAAAAGGTAACCGTGGTATTGTTCACACAATTCTAGGAGAACACACAAATATGAAGTATACACAGAATTCATGTCTTAAGACAATCAATTTACCAATCTCTTTTAGTCAATGAACAGTAATCCTACTGCACACAGTGCAGGTTGTCACTGTCGCTAGGATAAGATTTTATTTTTTTCTGGTTTTTTTTTTTTTTTTGTTAGTGAGAGAAATTATGAACTGAAACTATCCCTGACACATTCTGCATTTCTCTCTTGTGTCATGCTATTGCCTGCCCATATTTTGCCCTCTGGAACCTGAGAGCATTAAAAAGGACTTTCTCTCCTTTTTCCAACTGTGCTCAGAACAGGGAGGTCCTGGTTGCTATTTCTCACAGTGCAGAGGTCAGCTTCTTGGCAGTTCCTTTTCTCTACCCTTATACAGCTTGTTTTCATTCTTTTTTAAGATGGAGTTTTGCAGCTTTAATCTCCAGTTTAACAGAAATCAAGTGCTGAGGAGCCTCTGAATAAAGCCTTAAAGTTCTTCAGTAGTTCTCTGATACAAGACCCCGGAAATCAGAAACCTTTTGGCACCCTTTCTGAAACCAGGGATGTAAAACCACCTTCAGACATTAATTGCATCAAAATGTTACAGCATGTGGAATGTTCTTAAATTTCAGGGTCTTGGAGAGAATTACAAAATATTTAGAGCTGTGTGCACAAATACCCGGGAAATTTTTCATTGATCTGTAAGATATTCCACATTTCATGTGGAAGGTTCCCAAACTGAAACAAGTATGTGGGGCTTCTTGTTTCCATAACTTTAATTTCCTTTTAAGTGTAAACAAAATTTAAAAATTCTGCTGCATCATTTTTTTTTTATTTGTGGGTTTTGTTTTTAAAACAAGCATTCCACTAAATCTACTCCCCTTCCTTGTGTTACTAACACATATTTTCAATCTTATTTCCTTCTCAATTGTGTTTTTTTTCCTAGGATTGATGCATTCTGTTCCAGAAACATTCCTGATTAAAAATGAAAGCCTCATTTACTTTGGCCTTCATCTTAGTTTCAGCACAATCTCCATAAGAAGATTAGCTGGGAGAGTGCTGAGCTGCACTTTAACATTACTTTTTAAGGGTATGTTTTATTCTAAGAGTGAGACGCTTACTTTTTCTTTGGACACAGTGGCACTGACAGAAACACGTGCAGATATTTTGCAGAGAGACTTGGGCAGGTATGTTCCCTTTACATTTTGAAAAGATCCATTCACTTTTTCCATCCTGCAGGACTGGGGAGGGGGAATTGCAAAGCAATTCTTTTGAAAAAGAATTATTCACTTTCTGGCACAAATAAGAAAGGGGAATAAGAAGCAAGAACATAATTGTTTTGAATGCATATGTGAAGATCTCTAAATAAAAGGCAGGAGGGGAACAGATCCAGCTAAAGAATATGCAAAAGGTACTAAGAGTAGAGGGGAAAAGGAGAGTAGGCACAATATGAAGACTGTGTTGCAGACAAAAGTGCACTATATTATTACAGTATAACCAAATTAGATTGTAACAGGCAAAGTCACAGCTGCTAGCCTTCTTCCACATTTAATCTAGGTAAAAGCAACTGTTTCGGCTTTTGTTAAAGGCAATGTACTACTCTGTGCTTGACCTTTCTTACTGCTAGTGCCCAGGGCATTTGCCTTTCTGTCCCAGCACTCAGGAGGAGTTCTCAGTCTCCTTTGCATTTCCATGCCTGGATAACCCAGCAAGAAGAACAGCAGCTACATTAGCTCAAGAAACATGAGCTCATTAGTTCATGAAACAAACTTCCCTCTCTCAGGAAGGCCATCTACTCTTGCCCAAGTGTGCATATTCTACCTTTTCTTTGCTCCTCATTCCATCATTATAAATACTCTGAGAAATGTTAGTAAGCTAGGAAAATATTACCAGATGCAATGTTACCAAACAGCACTGGAAGAATATTCCTGCATTGAACACCCTTTGCAGGCACAAGCTGTTACTTTTCAGAAAAAAAAAAAAAAAAAAAAAAATACACTGCTCAGTTCTATCAATATTGGATGTCACATGACAATTCCTGGAGATACTCCAAAATAATTTCTCCTCCCCTACCTTTCCTTTTTTCCTTTAGGCTAGCATTAGCATGTAGTGGATTTTGCCATTTAAAAATATTATTTCTATGACATAGCAATTTTGGAATTGAAACTCTCAAGCATCATAAAAAGCACAGCTTCATAAATCTAGGAGACAGATGCTTATATTACCTAGTATTATTAAAAATCGTTAAAAAATCAGTCTCTATCTCTACAGTTCCTTTTCTTCATTATTTCACTTGCTGTTATTTTTAGTGTGTCTAAAATAAGTGGCTGCTATCACTGGCTAAACGCAGATATAAAGCTTCCCTCTGAAACTGTGGTAACTCACTGTTCCCTCCATCTGACCTCGATTCCCCTCCAACTCTCTGTCTAATGCAGACAGTATTCTTCAAGAATTAAACTGACAGTGCCCAGGCCATTGCACCTATTAAAGAACACAAAAAGATGTCAGTGCTAAAAGAATACATTAAGCTGAAAATATTCCTCATAGTGCCACATGAGCAACTGTGGAAAGTGAGGAAAAGTTCTCCATGCGAAGGGCCAACTCCCTTTTACCTCCTAAGGCTGCAGGGTGTACTCAAGATTAAGAGATATGTGCCTTCATGTTAAGAACTGGTCTGATTGTGTGTTCTGACTTATTCATTCCGCTTTTTGTTGCAATCTCCCTTCTGCCTGAAAATAGTACACTGTAAAGTGCTAAAAACAAGATGCTAGGGAGACTCTATAAAGGATAGAGTGAGGTAAATACCAAGCAATGCATGTCTTAGTGTCTCTGGATCGAGTCTCTGCACAATCTTATTAGGTCCCTTAAAGCCCACATCACAATTCCATATAATTACTTCTTATTAGAATTACTTTGTACAAAGAGTTCTTTCTAATGTCAAGCCTGAAACTTCTAAAAGCTCTATTTTCTAACTAGTTCAACATCTTATCAATGCATTACAGATATGTCACGCCTTTCCAATGCATACAAATTTAAAACACCAAGAAAATCTGAAACAGATACAAGAAACAGCCAACATGATACTACAATAAAACTCCCCTCTTTCACCATCCTAAACACATCAATAGTTTCCATCCTGCTGACTTGGAATCTTATCACAAGGTAGATCTGACTTTGAACTTCTCAAAGACAAATAATCTGATGCAACTTTAATTCTGTTTTACCATGTATTGTAATCCAATGAATAGAAAACGAAGCCACATTACTGAGCTACAGCTGAACAGTTTTAAGAATTTGCAAAGTAGCCATACGGTCCCCTTAAAGAAGCTATTGGGAGGAACATTTAAGATTTTTTTTTTTATTCCAGTAGGCTTTTCTTTTTAAAGTAATAAGACCTTTATATAACTATAAAATAGTGATAGACAATTGTTCTTTTCTGGGGACCTGAAAGATAATTTTAAGTGGAATACTAGCTCTCAGATGCCATTTAATTCTTGTCAAATCTCAACATGACCTGGAGTTGACTAATTATCTCCTTCCTATAACACAGCCTTCTGGGAGGCCTAACTGCCTCCTCTTACATTTTCAGATAACAGCCATCATCTCTGGCTTCAGTCTCCACTGCCGAGCCTTACTTTAAAGGGTCGCTGTTCCCTGTTTCCTGAACCTTGCGTCTGGAGATCTGACTTCCTTCACATTTTGTGAAGACATAGGATTTGGAGAAATTTTCTCAGTCCTGCCATGGACAGTTCTCTTTGACAGATTATCATCACAAGTAATACAAGAAGTATTATCTAAACTAGCATAAAGTATTAAAGGTATTTGAGGAAAGTACATTTTTAATGTAGTAATATCTTTGGTTAATGCTGTCTTTGAATCTCTCTTCAATACTGCAGAAAAAAATGTGCAACAATTGAAGAAAAAAAAATGCAGTTTCTCAGTAGCAGTTTTGTAAATGTTTATGATTAAATTATACTTGTCACAGAAAATCAGAGCCCCTTCCTTAACATGACGCTAGACCAAAAGGAAAATTTTTGAGATGATAATAATACAGGTTTAACATTCCCTCTAGATGAAGCAGATTACCAAATTTGAAGAGGATGCTGCCAGGAAAGATCTACAAATGATTGTGAGTCAATGATTTAAACATAATCTCAATTTGAGTCTGATATATATATATATATATATATATTTTTTTTTTTTTTTGACCTAAGTTGCCTGAGCTTTTGGCCATAAAACTGTAATCAGCTTAGATCTTTTCATGCCAAAGGCAAAGGTAGCCTCATATGTGATGAACCACTCATATCTAATCGAGATTCCAGATTTGCATTTTGAGACAGCTGGAAACTTTTATTAAGTACTGGCACGTCTTAAAACTTTATTCGGATTGAGTCAGACTACCAGGGTTATTTTGAAGTTTACTAAGCTGAGAAAACTAATTTTATTTTACCAGTATAGCAATGATACAGTCAGCAAGGTTTGCGAAGAAACATCTAACATGCACATCAAGAAAACGTTATATTTCAGAATCCTCGAGTAGTCTGTTCCCATAAAGTTGGCAACTTTGTATTTCAAAGTTAAGACGAAAACAGCGTGTGTGTTGGTATGCAAGGGTGTTCGTATATACAGACATATGAAAAATAGTATGATTAAAGAAAGTATATTAGAATATTTGAGAACATTGGTTAAAATTACATTTTATATTCAATTGTAGTCACTTAAACATATGGTTCATCATACGAATCATACTGACGATTAGGAGCCTATTTTTCTACCTTTATTTTTAATATCCTTGATGATTAGGTACACACAAGCCCTGCTGCACTCTAAAGCTTCTGTGCACTGCCTGTGAGACAAGAAATGTATGATAGACGCTTAAGCCTGGCTTGTTCACATTCTGAACATTGGTATGCAGTAAAAGTATTCATAATCAATGACTTGCAGCTTTTGAATTCTAAGGGAACAGAGTTTAATGTTTATAGCAGAAGAACTCCTTCAGAAAAATTATAAAGAAAAACCATACTTCATATCTGACATTAACCGAAAAAGGTTTTGCAAAGCCACACAGTGGTAGATATATTTTGCCACTTACATCTGTGATCATTTTCCCTCTGGTCTTGTTTCTCTCCCTGTGGTTAGCTCGTTTCTGTTTTTGTTGCAAAACTCGTTCCCTGGTGGTGCGGTATTCCAGAGCAAATTCACTAATAATTTTGCAGAACTTATTGATGTTGACTTCACGTATTGCATAGGGAGGATGGCCCATAAATAACAAAAATGAGTGAAACCTGTAAAACAATGAGTCCATGAAAAAAATCTTTCTTTTTAGTTTCTAAGAAAAAAAGCATTTCAGTGAATCCATTTATTATTTTATTAACTCCCATCATTTCTTTTGTGCTACAAAAAAATGTGGCTGCTTTACATAACATTGGCATGCTTTATAATTAAAAACATGAAAGTCTAGTCTATGATAACTTCATCCCAGGCATTTTCCCAGGCTGATGCAAGAGATAAGATGTTTATGGAACTTCATCTACTTTATATTACTAATTTGGCATGTGAATTAGCAAATTTCAGTTATAGTAGAAAATATCTATTAAGTTTAAATACTATTTATTTGTATTAAGCAACTTCAAAGAGGCTGTTAGGACGTTGGGGAAAGTCTAGACAAGAAGAATGCAGATTTACAGGCTAGCAAACAGAGGAAGAAAAGAATTTCTGTTTCACAAAAAAAATCATAAAATTATATTAACTCCCAAGTACTTTATTTTGGAAAACTCTCAATTCATAGTTTTATTAATTTTGTTGCATTCCAAGATTCTGCACTATCTGCAGCTTTTACTGCTGCTTCTATACTGCATGATTTACAATAGCACACAATGTTTAAATGCATGTCAACTGCTTTTAATTACATCTATATACTTGAGGACAAAAAGTTTTTTTCAGTCTCAGACAGATGCAATTACCAAGACACTTTTTTATCAAGAATCTACAGCAGTAGTTGCAGTATGTATGCAACAGAAAAAAAAAAGGTTATTTTTCATGCTTGTACAATGCATATGATGAGTAACAGGAATCTGGTGAATTCATCAGAAACACTGAAACTTTCTGAAGAGAGGATCGCCCTTAAATAGGTGTCTATGATGAACTACTCACTACCTAGATAATGATGAATGTGCTTGCGGGAATACAGATTAAACATTTAAAAAATAATATTCATGATGGCATAATCTATAATTTAACAAGTCATTTACAAGATATTGCTATAGTTACCACCAGTCTACTGCTGTACCTGTTAATTATTCTTCTATGAACAATCTTCAAGATTATAATTCTTTCTGCACAGTCCTTAAGGAACTCAGACATTTTTTGCTTTAGAGTTGGCCTCATTTCATGCTTTGCTATAGCCTTAAGGTGATCCCACGATGCTTTGCACCGTCTTTCCATCTGACATAAGTTTTCCTGGAGTTGCTCAAAGTCAACCTGGGAAGAAAAAAGGAAAAAGGGAAAATGGAAAATAAATCAAACACTTTAATCAAAAACACTGCAATAGCATACTTGGATATAAGAACAGCTCAATCTATGTGTAGGAAAGGGCCAATGCAGCTTCAGCAACAAATTAATACCCATCATTAATAAACTGCTAAATAAATATTAAGTACCTCTCTGCCTTTTTTTATGCATGAAATGCTAGTAGGAAAAATGGGAGCAAAGAATATACCCATGTACATTTATTTCTATTTTTGGTCTTGTAGGTCTACCATTTAAAGAAGGGACATTAAAATATTGTAGCTTGTTTTTTTCCTTGCTAAATAACTTTATGACATCATCAAAAAATCTGACTCAATTATTTCTACTGAATTAACACAAAACTTTAACTTTTTCTTAGTCATCTTCTCTATTACTCATAGTTTTTTATAGCAAGCTTGCCGCTCATCTCAGGAAACACTCATGATTTTCCTTACTCATGTACTTACTTGACAACAGGTGATCTACTATGAATTACAAAACTCATAGGCTTTTTAAAGCCCTATTTAGTGATCTCAGTGCTAACTTACCTCACTTGATATACAGTACGACTTTGCTAGCTTGCAACAAGATCCTATAATGGCTTTGAAAGTCCGTCAACACAGTTAAAATAAATTACTGCATGCTACAGAAACACTCTTCAGGACAGAAGCCATTTCATTCCACAGAACGGGAAAGAAAGGCTGTCGTTTATTCATCGACCAAAAAAGGTGTTCAAATTACACTGCTCTACAGGAGTCATTTAGGATATGTTGCTAACAACTGGACTAAGTGCATTAACTATCTAGTCACAACAGAAAATTTTCCCATGTGTTTCTGAACTCCAAAGATAGTAAAAAAAATATTTCTAACACCACTTCACAATATAGATGAACTTAATCTCTAAAACAGAGATTTATCTCTCATACTCTCAAAATGGCATAGTTTGCAATGTTAGAATTTGGTCCTCTGGTTAATTCTCTAATGCTAAATGAAAACTAGTGTCAGATACAGTTTTTTTTTCAGTTCATTGTCAATTACTGTGCTTGAATGGGGCCCAGTTTTCTTATGTCTACTAAAAATTATTCATGCTGAAAAAGAAATTTGCCTTGGATGCAAGCAAGTCCAAATTTGGAGAAGTTTGAACCTAGATCCAAATCTTCTCATTTCTACCTGATCTCTAATAGAGATAGGTTGCAATGTAATAATCTTCCTCTCTCTCTCTCCCTCTCCCTCTCCCTCTCCCTCTCCCTCTCCCTCTCTCTCCCTCTCCCTCTCTCTCCCTCTCTCCCTCTCTCTCCCTCTCTCCCTCTCTCTCTTTTTTTTGGTATGTTCCAGCATCACTTTGTTATATACAACACAGAATAAAATTACCAAACGAATACAGCACCCACTGCTGAGACTGTACCAACATTACTCACAAGAAATGCATTATGATTAAAGAGCTCCTGCTACTGATTTGACTCGTTTTTGCTCACATTTAAAGAGATGGATTTTCCCTCTCACAAGAAAATTAGAACACCTTTTGCTAATTCTGCTATTCAAAAAAACAGCCCTGCAGCTGTGGGCTTTTATTTTCATTAGAAAATTAATGCATATATTTAAGTAAATAAATAAATAAACCCTTTTCAGGTCTCCAGGTCAGTGTTTTTAATGTTGATGATAAATACATAATGTTGATGATAAATACATAGACAGTACATCTAAAACACCCACAGGAAAAAATAGGGGCATTCCTGTTAGTAAAAAAAAGGAGGCTGAAAGGACACAACAGAAGAGAAGGTTCTCTGAGAACAACTGCTGCTACAGTATTTCATCGTTACGTTCCCTGAACACCAAGAAAGTGCAATCAGAAATGGCCATTAGGCATCATAATAATGTTGTGCTCAGCCCTTGGGATTTTGAGACAGGTAGAAATATATACTTGTCTTCTTCCTCTCTGAGTCAGGACACACGTGCACAAAGGACATGCAGTTTACTGCTCCTGCCTACTATTATCTTATGATACAAGTTTAAAAATGAATCTCTTTCTCCCTAGGAGAAACAAACAACAGATTTCAGCTCTTGTTCAGCTTATGTAAAATAAGAATTACTTTTCTTTCAAACATTCTGCAATGTTTATTTTGATTTGTAAACTAATTTAGAGAAAACAAATTTCTAAATGCTCCAAGGATATTTTTGAATGTTCCTCCTTTCTCACGCCAGGTTCCTCTCCATTGACAACCACAGCAGCTGAAAAACATTCAGAGCAATTTATTTATCCACCAGCTAAGCTCCACTATTCAGTCTTCTGGGAAGTACCTACCTAGATAACAGTGTTGTTCTCCAGTTGGGTATCTAGAGGTAATTAACCCAAACAGAATTTAAAGATTATTTAACATAACACAAACCTTGTGAGGTCAGTCTCATTCAGGAAATCACTGCCTCACAAATGTGCAGTTTACAAGAAAAAAAAAAGAAAAAATCTATTTTCTAATGTAATGTACAACCATATTTTGCACAAATAATACTCAGACTACATACTCTCAAACTACATGCCAGCAACTCCAGCACTCATTTCAACCCCTTTCTTTCTAATCCTATTCTCTTTTGTCATCTACCCTTTCTCTTGTGTCAAAACCTTTTTTTTTTTTTTTTTTTTTTTTTGCAGAGAAAGAAAAGGGAAAAAAAAGTATGGTGGTCTCTCACTTCATTAGGTTAAGACGATAATATCACCTAATATATCTACTACTAAAATGACCTTTTGTTACAACTAGTTTCCACATGACCCTTTTCTCTCTCCAAAAACTATCACTACCATCAGCTGGCTCAGTATTTACCTCCCTGCTTCTTCAGATTCCATTAATATTGACCTTTAAAAAGCCTTGCTCCTTGCAAACAAACTGTCATTTAGGTGCAGTGACCTTCTAGGGTGGACATTCAACCTCTACTCCAGCATGTCCAGACTGCCTGGCATAACTGAGTGTCACAAGAATCCTCTGGAGACCAAGGCTGGCCTAACTTCCACAGTCAGTCACATACTAAAAATGAGGCAGGTATCAGGTCTTAAAAGCATGCAAAAACATAAAGGAGTTTCTGTCCATACATTTTTAATTCTAGGACAACAATTTTGCAAATAAGAACACCTGAATCAATCCACTGATTAAAACTTAAAGGACAGAGCCACTCACTGGGCTACAACCAGATGATTCCATGTTATTATTTACATGTCCACCACATTTTAGCTCCTAAAACAATCTAAAATAAAAATAATTACATGGGATTTCTTTGCAAATGCTTTATAAAAGTACTCATGAATGGGGATGGAAGAAGAACACTAGTCAGTAGCAATGTAGTTCAGCTGGTGTAACTGCACATACAAAATTAATTGTAGTCATTTCACTTGGACTGTTACTGAAACCCTAGTACATGGTGAGGCATATACAGATTCACAGAATGGTTGAGCTTGGAGGGACCTCTGGATATCATTTATTTTAACCTCCTTGCTCACGTAGGATCACCTACAGAACGTTATCCCAGACCCTGTCCACACAGCTTTTGAGCATCTCCAAGGATGTTGACTCCACAGCCTCTTGAGGCAATCAGTTTCACACATTAATTCCTGTTCCATATGCTAAATAAAGTATTTTCTTGCATAGAAAACCCTGAGGTCTCACTTGCCACATGCCTCCCTGAGCTCCTCTTCTCCATGCCCCAGTTTGCCATGCTATGAGGACATTAATAACTGTCTCATACTGTGTTTCTCTCTTCAGCTTGGCTCCTTCTAACTCCTGTCAGTAACTCAAAAAGCTGCACAGACTCTTGCAGCTGGCACTGTAAGGATTGATACAACCACTCCCCAAGTCAACTTACTTACCCAAAGTAATACTTCTTTTTCCCATTTATTTTTGTGTAGGGAAAGCATACTTGAATGACAATATGAATTGCACATAAAATCCTTCCTATCCACCAAACTGATAGTGAAAATCATGTTCTTCACCCTTTTTCCTTTCTCTTCTTTTGTCATATTAAGCAGAAGGCATAGTAAGCAGAAGCCACAGCTTGCATGCCAGAAGAGCACTTACTGGAACAACTTCCCTTTTTCCCCACAGATACCGACTGAGCCTTTTGGATCACCTGTGAGGCAGCTGCAGACTTCTTGCTCTCCTGTGCCTATGTTAGTGTAAGCACAAGTTTCTGGTTCTTTTTCATGTGTTTGCTTTTTTTTTTTTTTCTCATTTAGGACTTCAACTCTTCAGCAAAAATCCACAGGTTTTGCAATAACTACCATTTTATTTCTGGTCTTTCTAGTGACTATTTTTTTTTAAGTGAATTAAGGTTAAGGAAATGTTTTTATGATGTTCATCTCAAGGGAAGGGGCATCTCTGTTTATCTACAGGATGGAAACTGTTTAGCCTTTGTGGTTTCTAAAAGATGTTTATAGACAAAATGAAGCTCAAAAAGCCACCTAATCCACAGTTAAATATTAGTTCTCCTTTCCTGTCAGCCTTCCTAAACCAAGATTTCGCCTTCTCCGTGAACATTCCCATTCCCCTGAAGAGGGCAGCCTGGATGTCTTCCATGTCCTAACTCTTTGATTTGTGGCAACTAAAATCAAGTGGGAATACAGCTTGCTACAGTAATCCATCAGTGGTATATTACATGCAAGGACATCTCAAAGAGATGGGCATCATGGGGAAGGTTAAGGCTGTAATTTCTCCTAATGTGATTTTGTCTGGCCTTTCAGAAAGACCAGAAAACTTTATCCTCTATCGGAAGAGCACAGGCTTGAACTACAGTTACAAGTTTATATCATATCTGACCTGATTGAAAAAAAAAAAAAAAAAAAACACAAAAAACCAACAGTATTGGATTAAGCTTTCTTCTGCTTTCTAAGGCTGAAAAATAAAAGTTTCATTTCAGATATACACTGAATAACGGATTTTGAAAGATAAGGGCTTTTACTTCCTATCTTCTTCAGTAATGACACACAACCTCCTAAAAAACAAAAAAGGATCCTTTTTGAGAGATCATAGTGAATGCAGTAAAATAGAGCCTAAATATAGGTTATACAAATAAATGGACAGACATGGAATCCAAAGAGGATATATCCTTTATATCTAAGGATATAAAACAAACCCCACAAATTTCTTTACAGTAGCCAAAATGAGAAAAATATGTAGGAGGTCCTGGATCACTAGAGTGTAAAAGAAACTAAGGAAGGCAAATTTAAGAAAGTTAAGCAAAATGGTTTCTTTTCATTCAGCTCATCCTTAGTGATGACTAAGGATGTTGGGAATAAACACACTTTGGTATTTGCTTTAACTTTATGTTTATTTTTTAAAAGATGTGAGCTAATAGCAAATAATTGCAGAAGGAAATGGAGGAGGATAGATGACAAAGGGTAGTTCTAAACAACTAGAAGCTAAAAATTCTGGAAGTAATTAAAGCAACTGAGATGCTAGCTGAGTATGTTTTCACTACGCTTAGTTACTTTAAGAGGTCAGCAAAAGTTTCAATTATCTTTTACAAAGACAAGAAGGTTGATCAGGAGAATTGTACAACTCTAAACTTTTTTACTGTATCTGGTAACCTGTATTAAAGATAAATTATAAGAAAAGTAACAAAAGAGATCTATTAAACAAAATTAGACTTTCAAAATCTTGACAGGAAGCCTTGTGGAGGACATGAGTGAGGTTAAGAGAACAAAAGCAAAGAAAGAATAAATATTGAATCTTATTTGGTCACAGGGTTAACAGCAGGTGTTTCAAGTTCTGTACTATGTATTTAAAAAACTCTGGAAATAAGGAAGGCTAGTACTCAGATTAGTGCTGTCTGGAAATGATTATTAGGGTTTTAAGAGATAAGCAGTTTATCTATCTGCATAGGAAATACTTCAGCAGATCATGGTCATTACTTCAGATTGCAGAGGAATGTACTTCACAGGCAGAAGTCTGGACTCCTCCACATATCCTGCTGAGTTCTAAATTGCCATCACCAGCTCATAAGAATGCCTAGATATCTTTCTGAACAGTTCAACAAAGACTGGTGAGAAAAAGATAACAACAGACAAGAAAAAAAAATCAGAAAGCCAAATCTCTGGATATCTTATAAAGATATTGCAAACAGAATGGAAAAACATACTAAGAACAACTATAAGTTTAGAATACTCTGCTTGCTACAGTTTAACCCATATCAGAAGTTTGGAATACTCAGCTTATACTCAGCTATAGCTTAACCCATATCAATTGGGAAGCAGAAAAGTAGAGAAAACTTAGAAATGGTATAAATGATTACACTTCAGAAATGGCGTAAATGATCCAAATTCAACAAAATAGAAAGATAAAAGAAGTTGAGACAGTTCTATATATTCAGCCAGTAAATTCTATGAAGAAAGAGAAAACCATCAAATTCAACATCAAGCAAGTTAGACTATAAAACTCACTGTCACAAGTTAGACTATAAAACTAACTGCCACAAGTATGTTATGAGCCAAGATCAGACAGATAAGATCAAACAGATGTTTAAGAAAATATTATTTATATAGGATTTTTATTATGATTTTATTCCATTCATTCCTCCTTTTTGATGGATATTATAAGCTTTTTGATGGATATTATGAGCTTTTAGTATGACCTGTGGAAAAAAAAAAGAACAAGAGAAGATTTTCTAGGAAAGATCTGCCTCCTTCAAGTTTCTTGTGTTTTCCTGCATCTGGCACTGGCTACTGTCAGAGCGAAGACACTGGACTAGATGGATTCTCTCTGGTAATTATTTCTATTTTCATGTGAGAAGTAACTGCCAAAACTATGTTTTCATGTTTGCTATCTGTTGATAACACTCTGGCAAGCTTACTCCAATTGTTTTCAAGTGTCATCCATGAAAACTCACACTCTTGGGAGCTTGAAGAGTGAATGTGCAGCATTTCTATCATGCAGGTGAGCAGCAGAAATAAACATTTTGCATACCAAATGTAGCCCTCAAGCAGGTCTATGCATAAGAGGCGCTGCCACGAGTTTCCTTCGCTTACATTTAATTTCCCCAGTTCCTAAATATGACAATTATTGTCATAAGGAGGACAAAAGAAGAGTTACATAAGATATTCCACGAACACATTTCTTCTGGAAGCAATTTTATTACTGAGAAAAGTGCCTTCTTTATATTTCCTTTTAAACAGAAGTACTTGCACAAAGAAAACAGATTTCCCCAAATGACAAAATAAAGCCGAAAGTATTAGATAGATAAAGCAGTAACCTGAAAATTGTTCCTAGCAGTTATATGCATTAATAATAATAACTACTATAATAATTGACTATCTCCATAACTCCTATAGCAAGTAATATTACTTGAAATTCATGGCAGATGTCATAAGATAGCTGCCTATTATTGCCTTGATGAGGAAACCACCTGACAGACAGAGATAAAGCTCAAAAGACTGCACTAGTATCTTTAAAATTCCTTGAGAATGACATGCCATAACTATATTTATAAAAAGTGCTGTGACCAGGGAGGAATGACATCAAAGAGAAAATAAAAAATCCAAAACTTTTGCACTTTTAAAAGTTTATATAAAAACAGACATATATATTTCCCTGCCAGACATACCTTGGCTGACCTAGTAATGGCCCCAATCTCAGAATAAAGATCGGTGCTGTCCGGGAACTTCTCTACCACCATAGTGCAGACGTGGTGCAGAAGAGACTGCTTGTGCACCGTGTCCTTGACTTCTGGAACCTTCTCGAGGTAGCTCAATTCAAAGGCTTTGGCCTGCAGGAAGAGGAGGGAAGACAGGCAAAAAACTTAAAATTTAAATACTCCTTCCCCTGCAGATTAGTACAAGAAAATGTGGGAAGCAGCAGTGGAAGAAGAATCCTACAGCAAAATCACTTTTAATATTATTCTAATTAATTTTAGCTTGCTGAAGAGTCGGCCCCAAATCACTCCAGCTGCACTCTGCAGTGAAAGGACTCATGACACAGTTCTCAGTTTGAAGAGGGAGCAATGGCACTGAAGATACTTAAACCAGAGAAGTGCCTGCTGCTAAATTTCTTCCATATTATGCTGAGAGAAGCGAAGCAAACTTACAAAACAAAATTAAAAGAAGCAGTACATTCCATTTTCTAAATGACTTTTCTGTAACAAATGAAAACTGGATTGCAACTGTGCAAAAATAGTTTATGACTTTTGTTTTCTGAAGGAGAAACTGTTGAGGAGCAGTGGGTGCAATAGGCTTACATTGGTTCCATTCAGAAAGTTCCCAATGGCCAGGAGAGTAGAAAGGATAAATCCCAATGTTTTGTTATGCTCCAGCTGGTCCATTCCTTCCTTCAGGTCTAAAAGTGGCTCTGCAACTTCCTGCCATGAGAAGAGAAACAAGAAAGTAGTTTGCAATAGTTACACCTAGTTTGAGGCTCTACGGTTTAGACTAATGACAGCAAAAAGTTCCTGAACAGGCGTCTTGAAGAGTGCAAACTGGCCATGTGTGCTGGCTTTCCTCCACGTTCCAAATAATAAATCATATGCAAGGACAGCAAAGAAATACATAACATACTTTCCTAATGTTGCTTGTTTATGTATGCAATCGCCTTACTTGTCCTGGAGATATTCTATGGTTCCAAATAGAAGAGGTAGCGTCAGTGAAGGAGAACTTGTATTTGAATTAGAGGCATTAAAAAACACATTCACACTGATAATGAAACCTCTGCAACTACTCTTCTTAATCCTTGAAAAAACAACAAAAAAATTTCAAGTCTTAACTGACAACTGCAGTCTGATCCTAAAGCTCTCTCCAAGTGGTGACCACCTCTGAGTTTAGTCCTTGAGTGACTTTAAAACTGAAAAAACACTGCAAATATTAAGCTTTATCAAAGTGGTCTCATTTTAATCTTTTACTTTAATGCATCTTCTAAAAGTAGGTCTGTAAACTGATAGACTGGAAAACATAAATTTTGTTCCATTACCTCAGGAAGTGAACCATCCCTAGAGAGTTCAAAGGAAGACAGTGAGGCTAATTGAGACGAGTGAGCTTACTTCTGTGTCTCTGTGTGAGGCCTAGGGTTATTTATTTTGTATGCACAATAAAGTACATATAGTTCACATTGTTTCTGTCTCCAAATGTCATCCTAGCCATCCACGAGCAGATTTCTTTTCCCAAATTATTACACTGTTTATGAACTAAGAAGCCAAAATTAAGCTGTTATTGCAGACTAAAAAGCAAAATATTTGAGAACTTCATTGTTTAGGGGAAATATGAGGGTTCATTCAACAACTACAGTGGTATTTTGCAGAGCAAATGGATGAAGAAAATGTGCATTTCCACTCAATACAGACCAATTCCTCCCTTGATAAAAGCACGGCATATTTGGGACAAATTAAGAGATGGCATGGAGAGCTAAGAAATTTATACATCAAAAGAAAAGTGCTAAATAAATCAAGACATTATTAAGTTACACCAAAATCAATTAAGTGCTGTGCAGATTTTTTTCAATTGGTTTACAAATTAGGGATGATTTGCTTCACTACAAAGATCAATCAGACCACTATAAATGTGTTGCAAACAGGCTTTTGAATCATTTTACTTTCATCAGCTTGCAAACTGTCTTAAAATCATTTCTGAAAGGTTGCATTCTGAAAAGAGTTGAAAAAGGTAGAATAAAAGGCTAACAAATAGACCATACCAAAACTCTTTGTTCAGCTATTTGCATGCAAGTTATTCAAGCTTAGGCTTTCTTACATATAGTATATATTTATAATTATAGTTTATTTTTGGTTTTATTGCATCAGTGGAAAAGAATCAAACCCAGCATACTAGACATTGCATAAACAGACATGAGTGAAATTTCAGGACTTTTCCAGAATTTCTGCCTATTAGACATCTGATAATCTCAAGAAAAAAAGGCTTAACACGCACGCACAAATGGACTCAGCTATATGTGCAATGAATCCAACATGCCTGGGACAGGTATGACCCTGGCACTCACGTTCTGTACAGATGCTGTGGCATCTGCAATCTGCTGATTGATGGGTAATGAGTTGTGCTTACTGCACTTAGGCAAGTTCAACTGTGTGGGACAAACATACACAGATTCTGTGAGGGATAAAACCTGTGAAGACGACCAAAATGTAATTTGTAATTTGTTAAGACTCAAATATTGATACTTTGAGTATCATGCAATACTGAAAGAACAAAAATTACCAGAATTATACTGATAATTTCATAATTTCAGAATATTGATGTCATTTTCTAATTTTCACATAGTTTGAGCGTTATTCAAAAGTATAATCTTTTGAAGATTTATTTCTCTAGCATTCTGTCTCATCGGAGACAAGACTCAGGACTGCAGGTAAACTTTTTGCTCAGAAGACAAACCAAAGTAAACCCAGTTCTCTTCGAACTTAATCATTCTCATTTCTACAACAGTTTATAAGCACTTATGATCCTTTAAAGTTGTTGGTAATAAGGATATATTTACCCAGAATGATCATAAGAAAAAAAAAATCTGATGTAGGAAAACTAAGCATTCTATTCCTCTTTTTACAAATTTAAAACTCCCTTTGAAATAATGATATTTGACGGTGTCTGCATCATAAATAATTTAGTACAAAGAGCTAGAATTAACACATTATGATTTTTCAGGTACTGAGCAATGAAAAATCTGAAAATGAAGCTTTAGGTAACTCTACCTCCCCTGTTTACACTTTTAAAACATAACACCAAAAGATACTGAGAAAAATTATTGTCTCATTGCTGATCTTATAGTAATCATTGAGCACCTTTTACACCTGTTGACATTTTAAAACATTATTCATGTGCTTTTTTTTTTAAAAAAACAAATATCTGGAGTTTTCTTTATTTATTTTAGATGCGTAATTTTTAATATGCAAAATAATGCATTAGTTTGATCAAACTTTGTAAAATATATATTTTTTGTTGCTGTAATGGTTTATAGTGAAACCGCAATTCGACCTTAATTGTCACTGGTACACAGGCTTTAAACAGCCAAGCATGACCATTCACTCATTCAGCTCAGCTTCTCACAGACTAAGACTGCTCCTTGAAAATGTACGAATTATTTTAGTTAATTAAAATGAATCCAAGAAAGATTTCCTTCATTATCTCTGAAAACCATTCTTACAAAGATGAACAGTATCTCACTCTTGATAAACAGCTTAATCTTTTCCTTGAACAATTTAGTATCATTTTTCCTTTAGGTCATCAGAAATGGAGCTAAATTCCGTTTAAATGAAATCTCAGTCTAAGCCAATCTGCAAATAAGTCTAAGAAACAGCTGGATAACCTTAGAGCCTGGCCTTATGTCAGCAATTATGGTCTTTATTTTCATACTATTGATATCATGGACCCACTGAAACTTGCGGCCTATATTAAGATGCTAGTTGGGGTCTTTGATTTCCTACATAAAATACTGGTATTATTTGAAAAAATAACATGAGTGCATTTTCAACTTTTAATAATTTTCCTAATTAAAAAGCCCAGAAATCCATACATCTAGATACTGGACAAAAATGATCAAGAACTGCAAAGGTGACGTGGCACCTAAGTTTCAGAAAAGGTTTATCCATTTGCAGATAAATCTTGTGCAAGAACACAGAGTAGAAAGATGCTACCAGGGCATGGAATTCTACTATTAGCTTAAACAGAAATATAAACTACTTTATATATAATTGGATATGCTATGGCATCTTATCGCAGACTAAATAAGGCTTATGTTTATTGGTTACCTGGAACTTAAGTTTAACCTTTTGATCATGGAGAGCCCCAAGTGATCTTTTGTACCTCTGATGTCTCATCCCATATATTCCATTTTGCCCAAATAAGACCCAAGCTGACTGTCAGAGATACTTTTGTCTGTTAAATTACTTATCATAGGCTTCTCCTATTTTATCACAATTATTTCATGACATTTCCTGAATCATTGCATCATTTTATAGTAAGTACTATACTTCAGCCTGTTCCCTACACTATAGATAAAAAACTTGGCTCTGTGATTCTGCTACCACTTCAGTGAGTAATGCAGATACTTGAGACGTTTGATATTTACATGCTGGTAGACTTGTGACAGAAACACTATGGGATCAACCATATGAAAATCATTAATTTTTTTAAGCTTTCTTAGTAGAGCCCTAAATGTCTTTTTCATAGGGAGAAAGATAGAAATTCTAAGTATAGACACTATTCAACAGCTACAGCTAACTTTTTGCTCACATAAAATGTAGGATTTAGCTACATGCTAACTTCCAAGAATTCTAAGAAGCTATACCAGAGAAAAATCTGGCAAAAAATATTCAAGCCAAGTACAGAGATTTTATGTTTTGTAAGTCAGAAATTCGCATTTTGAAATGTAATAAAATTTCATAATTAGGAAAATTTATATTGAACATTAGTGTGAGAGCTCCTCCTAAAATCTAATAAAACAGCACAAAAGTTGAATAGACTTACCTGTACCATCTGCATATGAATTTACTGCTGTATAAACCGCTCATAAGCATAAATAAAGAAACATGCAGAGAAGTATATGCCGCTTCTTAGAATCCATAACAAAGAAAGTTATATCAAATCTTAAATAGGCTCACAGGTGTAGAGATACACATATAAAACTAACATATACAGAACTGCCTGAATGACCCAGAGCAACGTATGGGGAATGCAACAGAAATTCAGCCAGAGGAAGTTACCTGTACAGAGATTCTGGGAAGAACCTGTGAAAGTCAGTAAGCAACTGAAATTCCCCAGATAGTTTAATTCTGCTTCACCTATCCACCAAAATGATATGCTATCATTTTGGAATTTTTGYATGTGATCACATRCAAAACAATTTGATTGTAGTGTTCCTTCAATAAATGCCATCTATAAAAAAAAAACAGCAACAATTGTTCACAACCCAACTGAACACCCCTGAAGGATGCTCTTCAAATTCTGAAAGATGTTGTTAGCAGAAATAACATTCATGAATGTTGTTTTCCTTAGCTGAGGGGGACTTAAGATCACACCTCACTTTTCATGATATAAGGCTGAAGCCTGTAGTCCTCCCTCAATCTATCCGAAAATAAATTCTTACCAATTTTAAGCAATATATTTCCTGAATAACAACATCTGGAAATGTGTTAAGGATTTGGCCTTCTTTTTCCAATATCATTACTGCCTAATTAAAGGAAGTAAGATGTAACCTCTAATTTTCTTTTATAGAAGGAATATATTATGAAAGTACATGTTTGCTGCTTCCTGTTAGTCACCAAAACAAAAGGAGTTCATTAACCATACCTGCAAAACATATGTTCGTATAATAATGAAGATTGAGAAGGCTTTAGTAAAGACTTGAAACTGTCTCTATTTCTCCCCCTCTCCATGTCCATCTTACCTTTTCCACTATCTCATAGTCCATTTTGAAGGCCCAAAGCTGGAGCCTGGCTGAGAGTTCACTGATAGAGGAAAGGGTAAGGAGAAACTGCTCTGCGCTGCCCAAAGGGATGTCTGGATTGGCCATCTGGGCCTCCTGGATCTTCTGCTTTTCCTCCTCGGTTGGGATCATGGTCAGAATTTTCTAGAACAGAGAATAAAAGGTGTCAATGGAGGGAAGGGGAAAACATGCCTACTAGTGAGACATACGGGTTTGGAAAACTGAGGAAGGCGGGAGATGATAGTACAGAGATAATCTGGGGGTAAATCAGTGGACTCCACTGAAGACTTTGCTTTGACGTCATCTGGGCTTGTTTTACACCCTGGCAATTCTTAGCAATGGTAAAAGTCCTCAGTCTTGGACACTAAAGTTAGGATAGGATAGCACCTTAACCAAGCACATTCAGCACAAAAGAATCCAAAGCAATTATCTGTTATCCTGAACATCTTCATTTTGTTCAAATGTACATACATCCATATGTATAAAAATACATTTTATTTATGCATATCTAGAACATTTTATTTAAGCATATGTCGAACACATGATTAATCACAGGGTCAAATAGGGCAAATGGCTAGGACTGGTTTCCTCTGCTTTAATGCCTTTAAATCAAAACTGGCCACCCTTTTGCAAATTATAGATGGACAGAGGGTTGGAGAAGGAGTAAAATTTTGTAGCCTGTAATTTACAGTGGGTCAGAAGAGATATTAAGGCCCCTTCCAGCCTTAACATCAATGAATCTTTCAGTGCACTCATGGGTATACAGAAGTAACTTGAGGCCCTATTGCAGCTGCAGGAATATTTCTTGCAGCATAACTTGACAACTTCAGTAACTGGCAAACCGTTTTTTTGGAGGGAAGCCTGGAGGAGGAGGAAATGCAAGTCCCCAGAGAAGGTGTAGCGGAATTGCTATACCTACCTTGTGCTGCAACAGGAGCTCCTGGCCCTTGCTGCTGTCATCGTTACTGCTTTCTGTTCAGTTTGTTTTGCTTTCTCAATTCAATGTGGTAATTATTTCAACCTAAGTAGTCATTCCTAAATATTTAAGCTGAATTGAGGACAATATTCCAAGGACTGCTCACTGAATTCAAAGCTAAGTTATGCATTATATATCATATAGACTTTTTTCTCTTTTTATCTGACAGGTTTAAAATATTGATGAAAAAGGATCTCAGTATTTTCATTTTGTGCTGTCAGTACTGCTCAAAAAATGTATATTTGAATTCTTGGATTTTACAAGCTTGTTTACTTGTGGCAGTTTTCCTTCTAGTTCTTCCCAAAGGAACTACTTCTTAATATGTTTTTAATATATTAGATTCACTTTAAAATGAAAAAGAAAGCCAAAACAATGTTAGTGCATCAGATAAGTTGAGATCTCTACCCAGCTGATCAACACTTCATTAAAAAAGAGCAGTAGATTTTCAACAAAGTCTATGTTTATTCATCTGAATTTTTTTTTGTACCCCTCTATATTGAGAGTGGCTGTTTCGGAGGGAACAAGAGAAGAATAAAAGCCCAGCCAAAGAGCTCTCAGCCTTGCCAATCCAAACCAGAGTCCGTTCCAGCACTGGACACAGCCAATTCATCAAAGTAACACAACTGCCCCCTTCCAATACTGATAATTCATCTGGCTCATTGTACACTATTGCAACTAAGTGTAGATAGAGAGGAATTCTTCTCTAGCCACTTGGGTGGACAACAAGGGTTAAGCAAGCAAATAATGTTCGCCTTGCTGAACTGGGACTCTGATTTCAGCGACAGCATTTGTCTTGCTGTCCTTTTTTTTCTCTCTTTTTTTTTTTTTTTTTTTTTTTTGGTATGCAGTTCCATAAACATAAAGAAAGGACAATTTCTTTCTGTTAATGCTGGTTTAGGCACTAACCTGTGTCTTTCATTTTAACAGAAAAATCTCCTTGCTTGGGCTGTGTTTAACAATATAATGTCTTTATTTGACGAAAGTAAGTGTTGAAGTCTGCAAGCTGCTACTTTAATAAGGAACATAAGCTTACAATCTGTTCATATCGTAAGAAAAAAAAGAAGAGAGAAAAAAATCTCTCAATACACTCAGTACTTTTCCTTCCCATGTTAATGGCTGATTGGAAAATATTCTGATGCACGTCTACTCAGATTGGTGGAATGTGTCAATTGATTTTAAGACATGCTATCCATCAATCCACAGATGCTGAAATCTGTAACTTGGATCATACCTAGGATCAAATTACAGATTTTAAGTAGCTGCTTCAGAGTACTTCTCAGTGTTTAACCAAAACCTGTATTTAAAAGTTAAGCAGAAAAAGAGAAGCTTAGTCATAAATCCACAAGAAGAGGTGTTTGGAAGAGAAACCTGAGAAGCTAGGCCTTCCAATGCCTATTCCTCTCCTAAACAGCAACAAAAAGCTAGCATCTCTTCAGGGGAGGCAGGGCAGCTTGAAAACAGGATCATGTGAACATCCATACATGGAGAGTTCAGCAGTAGTCATGTGATGGATGTGAAAATGCTTCTGATGCATTTTTGAAGGCTAACACTTCACCAGTATTCTCAATTGCCTCCTACAAATAACTAGGGATTTTGGCAGAAACCCAGGCATCCCACAAGTATTTCTGTGGTGGTGCTTCCTTTACTCTGGAGATTTTGCACTGCTTTAGGGCATTTTAAAGAGGGCAACAAAACAGTAAGCTTTATTTCCACAGGGACTCTCCTCCTCCTCAAGCTTTATGTAAATACCACAATCCAGCTGCAGTTGACAAAAATGGTCTGAGTCCAAGTGCTGTGAGTCTGCTGTGCTGCTGAGCTTGGTACTGTAGCATGTGAAAAGGGGAACATCCAGCCAAAGAGCCTTTAACCCTCAAAAATCACCCTTGCTGTTGATGTGTTGCTGCCTTGGTAGAATCAGGGCTGCTGCTGACATTCAACAGGGTACAACTGCCTCCCTCACAACAGCTAACTCACCAGTGCTTTCAATCTGCTTGAACAAGTCACTGTTACCCTGTTGATCATTACGCTCTTTGTGTGCTCCTGAGCACACAAAGATGTGATGTTCACCCTATGACTAATTTGAACTATTTGTTCAGTGCTGAAAATTGATGAGTCTACCATCTGCCAATATATCTATTATTTCTTTTTTTTTTTTTTAGACTTTGCTGACAGCAAAAGTAGATAAAAATGTAACATAAGGTACGTAAGGTAACTGGTATTTAATATGACCATTAAATCATAAATAGCTTTCAACCTGATTGTTACCTCATTATGCAGGCCACAGTATGGCATTCTTCAGAAAAAGTAGAAAATAATGTGTTATCAACAACCCCTATGCTGTGAGTGACACAAGGCCATGCGATACACATATTTCATTTCCATGCATTTTCACAAAGTCATTTAGGCAAGACAGTCTTCAGGGAGAAAAATCAACTGTTTTTTTTTTTGCCGTCTCATTCGTCTGTGATCATAGATGCTAAATATCTTCTGTCCCTGCAGTTTAAAAATACCCCAAAATTTATATCCCGCATTTGTTCCCTCTTGTTCCCTATTATCACGGCCACTGAAGTACATCAACAGCGTATCATTTCCTGACTTTTGAATTCTTCAATCTGAAATCTGCCTGTATTTATCATATGTATTGTTTTAAATGAAATTATGGGGTTCTGGCAGCTAATGGAAAGGCCACCCAAAAGATGGCGTGATAGTACAAGGCACTGTCAACTGTGGACACCACAAATGGTTTGCACGGGCTACAAATTTTGGAAAGGGTAGGCTCTCCAGAGCAGCTGAACTTCAGTGCACCAGGAAAGGCAACAATTCAAAGGAAGTGATACATGCAAGATGAAGATGCTTCTTTCTCTATTCACCACTCTGAGTTGGGCCATTTGTAGAGAGGCTGTCGATCTACAAAGTCACTTTTTCAGTCTGATTGGGAATATGTTATGTATGTATAAATATAGCACAAAATCAAATAAGGAACACATCTTTGGGAAAAGATATAGACTAATAAGGACAAATGAGGCCTTGCCTGCTAGCTAACAAGCTTTCGCCTTTAACTATTTCTTTTGCATATAATTATTGGCAGCTCAACTGCCATCTAGCCAGCTTTTTTCATTTTCTTCTGTAGTCAGCATAGCAAAGGTGGAGAGGGTGAAATATGAAACTCTGTGCCAAATCATAGATTCAATGAAAGGTGACTAAGAATCAATACTGAACCTATGCAGTGAAACATTGGTTGAGATTTGGAATTGTGAAGATTGTACTTACTGCATGATAACAGGCTTATTCAAAAATCATTTGAAATCATTACAAGCACAATGAAAAGGAACAGAGGAGCAGCAGGCTCCTTTTACATTTCATAGAAATCTTTTGATAAAAAATAATAACTAAAGGAGTTCATCTTGGATCTTGGTAAGAATATCTGCAAAGTAATGTAATGGCAAAATTTACATCATCTGTAATCTTTGTACCAACTGCTTTGCTTCAAACAACAGAAACCCAAAGCTGCTATTTTGAGGAGAACTAGTCACTGTATTTGTTTTCCACTAGATATACTACTGAGCTCAGCAGCCAGCTGAATGTGAACTTTATTAAACCCTGCACCAGTTGTGTCAGCTCTAGAAACTCCCTGCCTAAGCTTTGGTGCTGCATGAGCATGTGGGTGCAGGCAGAACTTGACGTATTATTAGAATTTTCATAATTCTAATGAAACAGGAAACTGAACTTTGAAGGAATACACACTATTCAAAAAACCTCAATAGGAATTGAAGTCATTGCTTTTCAAACTTATACACTAACAAATTAGCACAGAATCCCATATTTTCTGAGCATTTCCAAACTCAGGTGAATGTGGCACACTGAGTGCGCTGCAGCAATCTGACAACTTGCATAGCTCAGCAATAATGCATACATCACCTTTTCTCTCTTCCATGAAAAGTCTGGCTGACACTATTGGCAAAATTTGAAAAGAAATTAAAAAATGAAAATTCAGAGCTGAACACAGTATTCCTTCTTACCTCTATTCCTTCCTTGTTTAAGGCATATTCGTCAAAATTCAAAATAGCAGTCTTGATAGTCCGTGGAGGGGGCAACACTGTCAAGCCAATATTAATAGCATTGCTTCGTTTTGAGTCCAATACAATGATCTCCTGCCGTTTCCCATCTGCAGCAGTTTTCTTGAGAAACAAGAGAACAAGAAAATTACTTCTCCAGTCTGTTTTATGAAGTTATTCCTTTCATTAAGGACTTTCCCCATGCGGGTGCTGACACCAAATATAAATCTAGTTCATTTACAGTTATCAAAGAAACCAGAAGTCTTCACCGCAGACCCCAAACATCCTTGCTGGTGGCAGTGTGGGCTGCCAGGATTTAAGCAGAGAGATGAAATTAGTCTCTGGTCATGTACAAGGGTAAAAGATAAAGCCTGTGGATAAAGCACATCATGCATGTATTACTGCAAATCCTGGGAATATCAAAGCTTGCGTGAAGAGTCAGTCTGAGAAAAGCCTGGTGCATTCAGCATGGGGCAAGAGGTGGCTGCTCCTGGAAGCAGCCCCAGCAGCACCCAGAGCACAGCCTTGGAAGTGGGGAACAGGGGGAGAGCAGAGTGGCTCCAGAGCTCCGTTCCTCACACTGGCCGGCTCACCTCATCACCTCGTTGGGAAATGGACAGAGCAATTTTCATCTGCCTAGGAGGGCTCTTCCCTGCTGGCCACCCACCAGGGGAGACCAGCATAGCCTCTCCAAGAAGGTCTTTTAGCCAAGCCCATCACAGGTGAAAAATAACTTTAATCCACCTTTTCCTTTTCCTCTTCCTCTTCTTTTTCCTTTTTTGTTTCTGTTTTTGCATTGTTTGAGACTAGACATAATCTATAGGTCTTACTTCCAGTAAAAACAACAGTATAAATAATAATGAAATATTCTGCCTATATTTTTAGATGCTAAAATGCATACCAATTAGGCAAGGTGATTTAGACATTTAGACAAGACAGAACTGAACGCAGTTTTTACTTTTACTTGAGAACATGCCTTTTATTCTGTCCTTGCACTGTGCTAGAAGGTGTTGCTTTGGGAGCTAAACGTGTCATAACCCATGCAGCTGACAGAGGATGCTGCTCCACATATACTGGAGGGCAAGAGAAGGAGGGAGAATAAGAGAGTGTACAATGTCATCCAGCTGCAAATATGGCTTTTACAGAGAAGATTTTTTTTTCCTCTCCTTTCTTCGAGCACAGACAGAAATGGGCTAAGGGGTGCTGTCAAACACAGGGAAAAGGCCAACACACACACACACAGGCAAGCACGTACCTAGTTTGCTGTCTGCAAACCTGTGATTCAGAGCAGCACGGGCAGCAGGGATGTGTCTATGACCTCCCCACAGAGCCTGTTGCCAGGATCGGGGTTGGTGGCTCTGGCAGCAGTGGCAGCCTCAGCACAGATGCACCTTGTGGGGGCAGAGCGGGACTGATGCACCCTAGTTGCCACTCTGCCATGGGGCAGCCCATAGAGCCATGCAGCACAGAGGACTGTCCGTGCTAGGGCAGTAGCTGCGTCTCTTGCATCTCTCACATGTTTGAGGTAAGACCACGAAGCAGACTCTCACTGAACAGGTCTGCTCAGAGCATGAGGCTTTGCTCCACCAGTTCCTTTGGGTCCCGCCACAGCTACTGCTGAGCCAGGCACAACCCTACTGCCAGCTCCACATGGTATTTCCATGTTGGAAGACCTGTCTTGGTTACTAGATACAATGATTTTTATCAAAGTACCTCTAGCTGTGAGTCAGTCCAGAATCTGATGGCAAGTATATCATTAAAAAGATGCCTTTTCCTGGCATCTTTCTGCTTGCCCAGGAATTGGCACTCTGACTAGTGCTAACAGGGCTACAGCATTTGTGTGGCCTTCTAAGACTTCCATCACACTGCCAGGATTAACACTATATATACAACTTATGTATGTAGATAGGACTGAAATCAAAGGCGGGAGCTGGGCACTCCCATACATGTACCATCTTTGAAAGTAACAAGAAGTTATTAAAAAAAAAAAAAAGGTCTATCTAGCAGTAAATTTATTTTAGGATTTCAGGATAAATTTTAGGAGACCAAAAATAACAATCATTCTCAATTTTTATACCTCTGCTCTGTCAGAATAGCTTTCTTCTGGCACCTTCAAAAGCAGCCCTGAACCCTTCCTGAATTTTCTCTTCTTTGAGTAACATTCTTCTTTTTATCTGGGAGCTAAGTGAAGCATATGAGATACAGACTTTCCTTTAAAGCAGTCATTTTTACTTCTATGGCCATTAATCATTTTTTCAGAACCACAGTTAGTGGCCAAGACCACATGAAAACAAGTGGGGTTCACCAGAGACCATTTCCTCTTGAGTCTCTATCAAACTAAGCCTTTTTTAAGCCACTACTTTTTACCTTGTGCTTTACAGCACAGAATTATGCAGCACAGAATTTATGCAGACAGGAAAGGGCTCAGGGAAAGGAGTTAAATTTAGGCTTCCACATGTGGTATGGCTAAGTAAGCCTCAGCTCCATTGCTCTGCTTTTAGGTTCGAAGTTTGACAAAGGAGACATATTCATTTGAGGAACATAGGATGCTAACCACATCAGGGTAGCTAGCTCTTTTTGAAAAAGGAGTCAGAAGTGATTTTAAATCTATTCCAGGGAAAAAGGCTGAGATACAAACAAATCCTTTCCAAATGAACAAAAAGATGACGAAGAGAGAAAGATTTTACTACTTCGAACTTTATTACCCTACCATTAGGAAAATAATTCATTTTTTTCCTGCAATGAAATTGCACATGTGTAAGTGACTAGTACAACTATTAACTGGTATTATAATCCTAGGTGACCTCAAGCTGTGTTTTATTAGGTCCTTACCAGAAAATGACTTCAGGTGTTTTAAGGATGAGTAAACTTGATTCCATCTATTGATGTGTCAATATATAGCATGCAACCTTATGTGCTTATCTGCTGAATATGTATTATATGACTAAACAGAAATATAAAATTAAAAAAAATACAAAATATAAGTATACTGGTTGTTCTAATTTATAGGAAACAATCATTCCTACTCCTATTAACAACTGTATTTAAAGCTGTATGGGACCTCACTGGGCAGATTCTACTGCCTTCATGAAGGCTGTGTAGTCTAAATACGTTATTCAAAAACAGAACTGCAAAGGTTAAACAGTGCTTCAGAAGGCGATCTCTGGTGTTATCAGCAGGTAACCTAAGATGCAGTTCTTAATTCTAGGAGCAACACTATTTGAGGTCACTTTCCCAAAGATCCTGTAAACAAAGATGTTCCTTAACGTTTCACTCCTAGTACTTTTTCACACCTATGGGTACAGAATGGATGCCTATATCCTCCACAGGCTAAGGGTGGATCAGCAAAATATTATTTTTAAATGACACATAGAATCTCACAAAGTATCTCATAGCAAAAAGTGTGCTTTTCATTTTTCCTCACAGAAACGTAAACACTTGGAAGTACTTTGCCAAAATACCTGCACTGCTTGGCAGGGAGAAAAGGAAAATTTCTGGACTGGTTTGGAGGGGATACCTGATCACTTTTTCTCTTCACTAACGAGTTGTCATAACCCTCTAAATCCAGAAAGTAGACCTTCTGCAACAGAGAGTGCTGAACTAACTATAATCAAGGAGCGAGTTGTCTAGAGTGGTGCATATTTTCTTAAAATCAAGAACCCCTTCCCCAGACTCCCATATTACATCCCACAATTTAAAATCCACTGCACTTTATTGCAGTCTATTGTGTTTAATGAAAAACTTCTCATGAGCCAGGAAGTAGCTGTTTATAGCTGTGTGTTGTGGAAATCACAGCGAAGGATTAGAAACTGGAGTAAAATTGGTTACAGCTGCATGAAAGAGCAAATGCAAAGACAGAGCCAAAAGAAAAAAAAAAGGAAAAAAAAAAAAAAAAGAGCACACCATGACTTCTCTTTTCCTCTCATCCTCTGCACTATTCCTTTCCATGCACCTGCTTGCATCTACTGCTATGAAATCTGGAGAACTGACTTTGGATTTGTTGCTTAGTGCTCTTTATTCAGCTGAACCAACTGCACTGTGAGTCAGACTTTACGATATTATAGAATAAACCTGTTTTGGATTGCAGCCATCGGACACGAGAAACTAGACACAACGGGGAATGTTCTCCCTGGAATGAAACCAAGCAGTCTGGAAAAAGCCAGAGCTGTCCTAATTTGAGTGCAATCTTCATACCAAACCTCAAGTCTTTTACAGATTCAGTGGTCTGCTTAATTACTCCCATTCTTACTTGTTGCAAAGTCCATCTCCTGCCCTGGAAGACTTGTTAGTATTTACTAAAAAACATGCAGGAGTCTCACAAGCCTGAGTAAACTTCCACCACAATAATTCTCAAGTCATCATTGTCTTCTGTACGGAGACAATCATATTTCTATGTCTGTGTTATGGAGAGGGTGGAAAAAAAGCCAAAAGTATAATGCCTCATGCAGAGAGCAGTATTAGTCTCCAAGAGGAAAGCAGTCACCTAAATCATTCCTCAGACTTGCAGTAATTTCAAAGAAACCTGTTCCCTCATCTTCCAGCCAGAAGCCAAAAGCTGTGCCAAAGCATCAGGCAGCCCATGCAGGTTTGGGAGGCAAGTGTGAGGGGGAAAAACTGTCCACAGGTAGTTTGGGAATGTACATAGTAGAAGACTGGACAAAATAAGACAAAATTTAAGCAATCTATCATTTTATCAAAATTTCTGGTAAGAAAAAAGATTAGGCCAGACTGATCCATTAATATAATGGCATTTATGAAGTTTGGAAATGGCAAATATGTCGTAAGTCCACACTCAACTCAAGGAATTAAGTGTTTTATGGATCTAAGAAAACTTCTCATTCTTTCCATTTATGAACCATCTGTGGCAGATCTGTATTTACAGTGAGAGAGACAAGGAGGAGTAACATGCCACAGTGTCACTCACATTCCTTCTTCAGCACAGTGGGAATTATAGAGAAAGAAATTAATTTCAACATCTGCCAAACGAACTATCAGCTCAATGTGTTTTTAAAGCTGCTGTGCCATACATTTCAGATCTATATACAACACATGTCAGAAAGCTATTTCTGCATCTCAGAAAATTCAGCTTAGAACAGAAGGCAGTGGGATTTACGTGGCTCATGTATTTATAGATCTATTGTTTGCTTAATGGGTGGTTAAATTGTTCAAATTGTGATGATTACACTTGGTTGAGAAGATCAAGAATGACCACCAGAAAGTTTTGAGTCTTTGGCTAAACAAGTGAAATGAAGAGATACCATCATGAGACATCTTTCCTTCCCAGATTCTGAGCAACCAATAATATATAAAATACGTAATAATTTATGCCAGCATAGGAAAAGTAGAATACTCAAGCTACTGACTGTTTTTATGTCACCATAAAACATAAAGACCTACATAGAAAATACAGAAGAGATTTATTTTAAAGAAGAGTGATGTTTCAGAGCATCTTTTACTGGCACTTTAATTGGAAAAGAATAGTTTCCTTGGTATCAATTGTTCTGCTTACATTAGAAGAAAGAAGGCTTATACAGCAATGGAAAACAAATGTTCTAGCTAATAACTTTTAAACTTAACTTCAGATTCCTACTGACACTAACTAGAAGAAAACTGACTTTGTTGCTGAGACTAATGTGAAATAATCATGTCCCCAGCCTTTTGGAATTTATGGCATAACACTGCACCTAAGGAGTAAGGAATTCCCAGGAAGAGAAATATTTTCTGTGCCAGAAATATTTTCTGTCCTAAATTTTGGATAGTTCAATTGCCCAAACTAAAGATTTAGAATATGCCTGTTTACCAGTTAAAAAAAAAAAAACCCTCTTGTGGAGTGTTTAAATGTGAACTCAATCCAGCTGATAAACTGATCCTTTAGATTCAAGTACATATATAGCATATACAGCCTTTTCTTGTTTTGCCTTTTTTTTTTTTTTTTTCCCCTCAGTAGAACCAGTCTGATATTCTAACCTTTTACATAATTCCTAGAGTGATTAGGAAAATATTACCAAGTGAAGAACTGTCAAATATACAGATATGAATCATCATGCTGTGACCTTTACATAGCAGAAAATATTTCACATTTCAACACCTAGTTTGGCACTCAAGTTTTAGCATGCTCATGTAAAACGTTGGTATTTCCTAGTCAAAATGATATCTAAAACTGGTAGACATGAGGCAAGCGGGCAGCATGGTGTGTACTTATGGCAGGTACATGATCCTGGGCTCATATCCTAATTTTGGGTCACGGAATATCTTCTGTCATAAACCAAGCTAGAAACACATCCAGTAATTTCCACCACTGTTCCACATATAAACAATATGAATCATCTAAACCTAAGTCAAATTAATACCAATATATTAGCAAAATAATAGGAAGCTGGATATGATCTGTACCTTTGTGACAGGCAGTTCCTTGGACTTGGACTCAAAGAGATGCTCCAGTTTGGAAGTGTCCACTTTAATGGGTTCCAGTTTCGACCACAGGAATTCTCTGCAGCGTTTGTTGTTTTTACACTGCCACTCAAATGGTCGTACCTCATTCCAAAACAGACGGATGGTTTTCTTCTTCTTTATGAATGCTGGCTGACCCCTAGAAACCTGGGGTGACCCTAAACCCTGAGGAGTGCTGAAGAGTGGAGGAGGAGCCAATAAATTAGCAGAGGGTGGAGGTGGAGGCGGACATCCAAACAGTGGGGGAGGCGGTGGAGGTGGCAAACCCAGAAAAGAAGGTGGAGGAGGAGGAGGGGGAACAAGGGAGTCCCCAGGACCCATATCCATGTCCAACACATCTACATCATCCTCCTCCCCCAAGTCTGTAAAATCCATGTCTTTTATTTTAAGTTCTCTAGGATTAGCCATCAGCTGATCCCAGATGTAGTCAGATTCCTTCTTTGGTGGTGCTGGTGTTTTCTCAGGGATCTGTTCACCAATTTCATCTTCAGACAAGGCTGTCCCCTTGGCCAGCTCACCACTATTGAATTTTTCCGCAAAGGCTTTCACACTGCCTTGGTTGTCCAGGTTTCCAATCTCCATCTTTTTGACACTTTCATCTTTGGCCTGCTTAGTGGCCTGAAGGATAGAGATCCTACTGGCTAGGCTAGTGAGTGACTCTTCACTTTCCTCCGTCTCCTTCTTTTCCTCCTTCGCCTCCAGCTCCTTTTCCTCTTCATCCTTGGGCTTTTTGTTATGCGCATACAACATGTCCAGCATAAACCGCTTGTTGTTAAGAATGTTGCTGCACTGCTCATTCACACCAGCATCTTGAATGGACTGTGACCATGGACCTGTAATCATACACACACAGATGGGAACAGTCAAGAGCAGAGAGCCAGAACAACAGTATTTAGCACCTCATGGGAAAAATTCATGGAAATACATGCACTAATAGCCTGACACTCAGCAAGACATAGTTCTGAGTTCTAAAATAAGTGGCTGTGGTGATACTCAGCCCAATCTTGATGGGCTGGGAATAATTCTTGAATGCATATAGGAGGCAATTATAAACCGTCACGATTTCAAGGCTGAGGTTTCTTCTGGACTGTGTCAGATTTCATTTTGTATTTGCAGTCTCAGCTCGTTTATAGGGTGCTTAAATGCTTGGAACCTTTAATGATCCAAAATAGGGATCATTATCCCTATATCATAAGAATGGCCACAAAATAGGCTACAGTGGTACTCTTAACATGGCAGAAACTGGAGCTGGCCCAGGAAAGCTTCCTTAGGAAAAAGATTTTCCCTGCCTGATTTCAAGATTCATATGGAACTGCTTCCTCCTTTTTCCAGCTATCCTGCTGGCTGGTCTTTAAACCTCCCAGATAGGTACTATGACCATCTTCACAACACTGACTGCTTGAATCATAGAGTAGACTGCATTACCAGGGAAAACTCCCAGGACAACTCTCATTGATTGCAAGTATAAACCAGCTTTTTAAAGTTACTTGTAGGAATACAAGCACCTAACTAAAAGAAATTACTGATTTTTGAAAAGGCTGCTCATCAACTACTGTAATCTTCCCTGAAATATATGACGAAACGGAAAAGTAATGGCCTGCCCACCTCAAGTTCCTTTAACATGTCACTGTAATAAAGCTTCATTTTTCTGACTACTACTCTTTCCAATGATCTATAAAGAATACTGCTTTGTGAGATAACACCATAAATAACAAACTACTGTAACTTAACTGTAAAAATGAATTATACAACATTTCCCTGAAAATAACATTGAAATAATGCAAAAAGCATGCCCTCCCTCCTTCAAATGTTGTTTCTTTTTTCAATAGGCATCAAATAAAGCAATTAAACATGAAGTCTTCTTCCACAGGATTGTTTTCTCATTAGGATTTGTCACCTAGCTGTCTTTGATGTAGCTTCACTAGACAGCACCATCTCCTTCCCCACACTATGGCTCTCCCTAGCTGAATGCCCCCAGAGGATTGCCCCCTCTTTGCGGCTGTTCCTTTAGAGATGTCCAAGATTGCTGTCAGGATCCCACCTATACATCCCATATAACTTGCCCTCTGTTTTCACCAGCTGGAATCATCCAGGATTTAATCCCTTTGCAAAACTTCTTACCAAAATTCCCCCAGACATCATCTCTAATTTGGGCATCATCTCTAAGTCTTCCTCAATCTTTCCATCTGTTTTCTAACCAATCCAAGATGATTGCTACGAAGCCTCTTACTGCCTCAGCACCCTCTTCTTGCACTCTCCACACATAAATATGTGAAATGCCATCAAAGAAGAAGGCAGGAAGGAGAACTCAGCAGGATGGTTAACAAAAGAGGGACATAAAATTTTTTCTCCTTTGTCCTTATTGTAGTCGGGCAGCAACACTGTACCACCTCAAAAAATGGGAAACTAACTGTTGATAATCTGGGAGGTGCTGGAAAAAGCACTCTCATTTGCTTTCTGCATTTCCTCACCCAGTAGATTGCAAACTATTCACTACATGAGACCTCCCTACATATCATAGCCTCTGATCTACTGGTAATGTATGTCAATTTTAAGAAGCCAAATTTTAAATAGGCAGAATATATTCTTAGCTATTAAGAAAAAGTATGTAAGCAATTATTTGAATGAAAGGATAGGGTGGATGGGACAAGATTACTGGAAAATTTTTGTACCCTCACTTGGGGTACCCTTGACTATACCACTGTGCAATGATATCTTTCATCTGTCATACCCACAATGCCTTTCCTGCCTATTCATTCATCTACTTTACATAGTACAATAGTTTTCTAAGTGCTATATTTTAGCATTGGCATTAATTGAAAAGCAGTTAGCTCTTAACTATCAACCAAATTAACATAATGCTTCCTAGAAAATCGCAATAGGGTTTAAATAGGAACGCACACAGCATTGCTAATAAACATGGTGATTCAGAGTCACCCCTCTTTCTGAGAAGAGCAAGGTTGTATGTCATGTTGTGAAAAGTCTTTGTTTGCTTTTCTAGGAAGAAGCTCTATCTGTTTTCTTATCTTTATCCATCAAACAAATCAATGTACTCCACTGTTCAGCCTTAGGCAGACTAAAAGTCAATTGCTCTAATCATATTACAGTTCTGTACCTCTGTAAGGAAAGTGTAAAAGAATAATTAATCAACCAAGGCAAAAAACTACATTTCAGCCTACAGGCTGCCTGGCAAGTTCTGGTTGTCATTCTGTCTCTTTGCAGCAAACTAGCCCATAGGGTATTTATCAGGATGGGCTATACTTCACAGGTTCTAATCAGAACCAGTAGGCATTAACAGGACTGTTCTTTTCCAGACCATGTATAAGTTCCTTGTGCCTCCTCCACAAAAGCTAAAGATGTTCACAGCCCAGGCCAACATTCAACAGCTCCTTTGTATCCCTCCGTTTGCTAAAGCCTGATCAAGATAGGAAAAATCCAGGGAAAGAAAATACATCCAATCCTTCTTTTCTCTTTCTGTTGCTTTAATAGTAAGTTAGGAGTAAATGCATGGAAAAAGATTTTTGGAATCTCATGACAAGTTGTATTAGGGCGTTTCACCTTGTTGTTTTGACAAGTAGGATACCTAAAAAAATGCTCTGAGAGCAAGACATGCAGTTTGCTGTAACACCCTGATTTAGTAGTTAACATGCCCTTCTTGAGCAAAGAAAACGGTCTCAAATTTAAAAGAAATATAATTTCATCAAAACCTTAACCATCCTTCCAAACACAAAGTCCTATCAAAGCCTATGGATTTCCAAGTAAAGAAGAGACAAGGATTTGGCCATGGCAAAGGAATTATTAGTGACAGGTGTAAAGGGTCTATTTGCAAGTACATAGCTCACACACAACACAGCTCATAATTTAACTTTTTTTTTTTTTTTTCCCCCAAGGGAAAGTCTTCATTATTGAAAAAACTTCACTTTACCAGTTTCATTGTCACTGGTTAACTTGTCCTCTCTCTCTTCCCTCTCTAAAGTGCTGCTTGCTGAGGATATGCTGGATGCAGAGCAGTTGTCTTTTTCATTCACTTCCTCATTCTGCCTCTCTTTTTCACTGAGTATTGCACTTTCTTCTGGCTCTCTCTCTGGTCCTTGCTCCACCTCACTCTCTGGTCCCACCTCTGTAGCCTCTACTTGCTTGGGTGTCTCCGCTCCCTGCTTGGCCTCAGCCTCCTGTTCTGGTTCTGTCTCTGTCTCTGCTTCGGGCTCGGGTTCACTGGCACTCACTGGCGGAGAGAACAACGGGAGAAAGAGATTCACTTAGCAACGGCATCTTGCGAGGCTCACCCGCCTAAACAAGAACAATGTGGAAAATCATATGAGTGCCTTGTGAAAAGAAAAGAGAAAGTGAGTTCATGGCATGCATAACTTCGCGAGCAAGAGGCTGGTGAGCGCTGGCTGACGACGGTATAACACGCAAGAGTGGCCTGGCAATCCCCCTGACTCACGGTCTGGAGGCAGCGGCTGCTCTTATATGTACTTCCACAGCTGGTGTACTGGACTTGCATACGAATTTGAACCACTAGAAAACCTGAGAATGACATTTAAAACTCAGTGCCCAGTCAGAGCCTGGGAGGGAAATATCTTTTCAAAGGCAAATAGGAGAGAGATTTTGGCTCTTAGTTGATGATTCTCCAGTTTCTGAAGGATTTTTTTAGGGAGCTTCCTTTTTTACCTGACGAGGGACACTTCAACAAAAAAAAAATACAAATATTAATTTTATTAACACAATTAAATGGCACAGTTTGGAAATGGCACTGTCACATATTTGGCTGACAAAAAACATGCGTTTCCGTGCATATTTACTTCAGAACAGCCACATCAAAACTGAGAAAAGCTTCCAACTGGTTGGCATATGTCATAAATTTAGTTTTCAAGTGGTTGGCATATGGCATACATTTAGGATTTTTTTTTTACCAGTTGGCACAGAGCAAATACTATTGATGGTATACTTAGTTTCTTGAAACTTAGTTTCTTCTTCCCTGCTCCATTACTGATAGTGAAATTCAGTCATTCATCTCTTTACAGTTTTTAGCCAAACCAGCAGATTTTCATACACAAATATCCTCTGCATGCTGCAAGGAAACTGTAGAGCATCCACACATATTCACGTCAAGCAGCTCACATCAATGCTCTGAAAATTGAAATGGCCATGCAAGAGTGATGAAAATGGACATGCATATTAGTTCGGCATACTCCTGAAATCCCCTTTGCATTAAATCTTGTGCAAGAAGGCTGAACTAGAATGACCAAGTCATATTAGTTTCTTCCCTTTGCTAACTGTTTCCATTACAATATCACAAAATGCGCTTTCGAACTTGTCACAGTCATTGGATCCCATGATATATAATGTGACTTTCTTCAAGAACTAAAAGAATCTTTGAAGGAAAATGCATCATGCAGGAATGCAACCTAAGCATTTCAGTCCTCTGAGAGCAGGAAAATAGATTTACCCCAAGAAAGTATAAACTTAAATAATGAAGGCTGCAGTATTTTCCTAAGACTTTTTCATGTTGAGTGCCTACTCCATTTCCTGAGAGACACTAAGTAATGATTTCTAATACTGCCCGGGCTACTTTTTACAGTAATACTTAAGGTTTAAACTAGCTCTCAGAAATGCATCTTCAATATTATACCATTCCCTTCTTCATTTTCTGTCCTTAAGTGCTTAAAATCACAGCTAATTTTTTTGCTATTGATTTAATTGCAACTACGTTCTGCACTTTCACAGTGCAATATTTATTGCCTGGTTAAACAACTAGATATGCATATATAAATGTTTCATACAAATATATACCTATATGCTTGTATATATTTATATCTCTATAAAATGTAGATGTTATAGGTATAATATATAGTCAATGCCCACTCAAGCCTCTTTAAAAGATTTTAAAATACTTCCAATTTAGGAGCTTACCTTTCTAACTCTTCTACACAGACAACATTTAAAAGTCTATGATTAGACAGGATAGCAGTTCTGTGGCTCTTATTGCCTTAAATAGATCTTACTTTGGACTCTACCCTATTTAGGTAACACTTACGAGAGAAACAAAATAATAGAAAGCTGACAATAAGGTGGAGGACACTCTGAATCACTGTGCTGTGTTTTTTGACCACAGTTGTCATTCAGCTGGGATAGTATGACAACATGATAAAGTCAAGCCAATAACGGAATATAACTTTTAGGTATCTCTTAGGAGATCCTGAAACTAACATGGAACTAACACGGCATCTGAGAGACTCAGAGCTTGCAGCACTGCAGCAATTACCACCAGGTAATTGCAGACCATTGGTCTGTATGCTTATAGACAAATGTTATTGGTTTACCTTGAAAAATCACAATTTGCAAATTTATTTTTTTCCTCCTAAAAGTAAATGTTGTTATCGAATAATCAAAAATAGCAACAGGTCACGTTGAGAAGGAACTGACTAAAACTTGGCCAGGATCACTAATGCTTATGGCTCTGTGGTCATCATGAAGCAATACTAAAGATTCAAAAATGATGAAGTTGGAGGAGATATAAAAAATGTTTGAGAATGTAAGAATGTAAATCTAGAAAGCAACATTCAAAAAAATTTTGAATCTGTGCACCTGAAACAGTCCACCAGAAAAATGAGATATCTTAGCAGAATCAAAAGTATAACAGGGAGCAAATAGCAATATATATTTATATCAAAGCATAAGCACCTCCAGAACCAACCATGGATATTCTGACATTCACTTTGATAGTCTCTTTCAGTTTTGGAATCATGTCAAATAATCCAACTATATTCCAAATAACTGCAGTGAGCAGTGAGCTAAGACCAGGCTCTCCCCTCAAAAAGTAGTTCAAAAATCAACTTTATTAATAAAGACTATTGAGAGAAGAAAGGCAGACATATGTCCATCACTTCCACTTCCATGCTTTAATAAACTGATTTGATATCGGTAAAAACTTCTAAAGATACTTTAAAAATAAAAATCACATTGAATGATTGTTGATGACCTCTTTTGAAAGGTCATCAGCATTTCAGTCCAATATTTCATGGATTGACTTTCAAACTAGACAAAACCCTACTGTAAGCAGCGACCTTGCAGGTGGGAACAGAATTAGTTAAAAAAAAAACAGTTTCTGTTTCCCTTGTTCAGTCTTCCTGATGATGAGGACTGGGAAAATGTAAGGAAGAAAGTTTGGCCATATCAAAAACCAATGGCATAGAAAGCTGCTTGATATCTTTTGAGAGACAGTGTTGATATGTTGATAACATATACTTTTAATTAATAACAACAACAATTATGCTCTTTGAGAGAAATGTAAAAATATTGTACAAAAGCAAAAAGAAGTTACCTTAAATACTGAATCTCTCCAGCTCAGCTTAGGTTTTAATGAGAACTACATGGATGTGAAAATTATGTTATGATTTTACAAGTAGTGCAGTATTTTTTTGTTAATTAAAACAGGTAAGACATACTTTCTTTAACTTTCTTCAAAAGAACAGAAGCTTTATTTGCAATTGGATGCATCAGGAGGAGGAAAACTGAATGTGGCTTTAAAGACTAATTTTTGGATTGTATGCCCATTTCTTTTTCTGCCAGAGCTTAATCTCTAAAGTTGTATTATCAGAAAAAAAAATAGTGAAGAGTTCTTTGGAGAATAAAATCTCCCAAAGAAGGTCTGTAACATCACCAAAGAGGGGGCAACCTCTCACTGAATGTGTACAAATCTTTTGTTGTTGTTGTTGTTGTTATTCTTTAGAAGGTATAAAAGGACAGATAGTCTTATCTGTTTCCATTTTTTCCAGAAACCAGATTTCTTAACCTTAAATCTGCTAATAAGAGCCTACATTCATGGTGGTACTTCTGCAATTTTTAAGTAATTTTCCTCTTAATGACCTTCTAATGAGGAACATTCACCATCAATCATCTCACTATACCCACATCTAGTGGTTCCTCAACATGATGTCCCCTCTTTTTAATACTCCCTCAGTGTCATCTGCTATCTTTCCCTAACCTGCTTCCTGGGGTCCTGCCACATTGCAAGAGTAGCTGATGAGAAGCTGCAGACCAGATTCTGTTTCTACTTATGGCACAGACAGGAAGATAGAAGGCCTAATTACACTTTGCCTAATGCTGTAATGCTTACACATGCCTGGAGTTTGAAAGAGAAGACATCAATGTGCATATGAACGGATAAGTAGAAATGGGCTCAATAATCAGCAGCTCATTGTCCTCATGGTGGTTGGTAACAGAGTATCCATGAGTTGCCAATGAGGCTAATACTCTTTAATCTCTTCATTGAACACCACCAGCAGACTTACAGTCCATTGTAAATTGGGTATGATAGTAGCAGGCTAAATAGTAGAATTTCAGTCAGAAATGGAAAATTTGAGGACTGCGCTAAAGGAAACCTAACCAAGTTCAGCAAGGTAAAGTGCAGGGTTCTGCATCTGGGGTGGACCTGGAGGACATAGTGGACACCAGACTAAATGACAGCCAACAGTGTACTATCATTGCAGAAAAGGCAAATTGCATACTGGGTTCCATTAGAAGCACAACTAGCAATTTAAAAGAATTTCCTTCAGTGATAATGAGGCTGCACCTGAAAAATAGCATAATTTTAGTACTCAGCTATTAAAGAACTCCAGTCAGAGGATGGTGTATTCTTATGATTTTCTGATAAGACCTCAACCATCCAGCTCTGTCAGCTCTGTAAGCCCTCAGAGAGAATAAACATCCTTCCAGGACTGCATTCTAGTCCTTGGCCAGGATAATAAATTAGGCAACCTCATGTTCATCTACCTTCTCTGCTCTCTGTTTGGAGCTGGGAGTAAGAAACAGTACATGTCTCTTAATGTACATAAGGTAAGTCTAAATAAGTCTTTCTATCCAAGCGCTTCTGGTGTAATTGTTCAGACATGGCTTGAAGTTTTGGTTGCAATGTCCCTTCAGATGTTCCAGCAAGAGCACATTCCTTTTGATGTGAAGCCAGCAAGGTTCAGTCTCTGTCTCTGTCTCTGTCTCTCTCTCTCTCTCCCCCTTAACAAAGTCCTTTCTCCCCACTTGATACAATGGTAAAGACTGGCACAGAACATAGATTACTGCTAGGGAACTTTCTCTTTGTTCCTCAGGTCAGGTCTTGCATTGGTCCTCTGTAGCTCTTCTTCTATCTTTCTGCACAGTGCCCTTTGGCTGTATAACTGTGGCTTCAGTGGTCTCACGGTTTTCCCAGTTCTTTAGCACTCCTCTATCTACTGAGACATTTTCAATTAGTTGTACTTCAGGCAGTCTTTGAGTCTTGCTCAGCTAAGAGCTGATCTAACAGCTAATGGAGAAGGTTTCCTACTGTCTGTGATGCACACTTAGGTTGATCTGATTACTTCCTCAAGTGCTACAAAAAGCTGCTCCTCACAGAGAAGAGTTCATCTCCAATTACTTTGTGGTTTGACTGCAGAGACATCTTGACTTATTTTTGCTCTCTTTTACTGCACATGTGTAGTTGATAAAATATTCTCCAATGAAATTACCAAAGAGGAAGGAGATGCTCTAAAAAAATATATTAGGTTCCATTTTGCAGTTATCATCACAGTTATTCATTTCCTTTAAATGCCATACCATGAGTTTTACAAGAGTAAATCTTACAAGATTTGATTACTTTAGTGGAACCAATTGTTTTATATGAGAAAACACTTCAGCACAGTAAGTCCAGATTTTTGTATTTTGTAGAGATACTGAGAAGCTTCACAGAATGGGACAAAGTTCCTCAGACAGAATCCATTCCCTTCCTAAGTCCACTATATCCAGGGAGCCCAAAGGATACTGGGGACAAAACACAACAATTCACCTACTACTTAAACTATAACTAGTTTTAGGAGTCAGATGTGTTTTCCCACTTGACTTCACAGTTCCCACACTTCCCACTTGACTTTGGGTTCAGAATACTGCAGAAAATATCTCATTAGTTAATGAAGTTCTTTTGTGAGATCTGAAGGGCCTTAATGAGCACCGAACGACAGAATCACAGAATGTTCAAGGTTGGAAGGGACCTCTAGAGATCATCTAGTCCAACCTTCCTGCTCAAGCAGGAACACTCAGACAACGTGGCACAGGGTGGTGTCCAGGCGGGTTTTGAAGACCCAGAGAAGGAGACTCCACAGCCTCTCTGGGCAGCCTGTTCCACTGCTCTGTCACCCTCACAGTGAAGAAGTTCCTCCTCACATGGAGATGGAACTTCCTGTGTTTCAACTTATACCCATTTCCCTTTGTCCTGTCACTGGCCACCACTGAGAAGAGTTTGGCCTTTTCTTCCCTCCATTCTCCCTTCATATATTTATACATATTAATCAGATCCCCTCTCAGTCTTCTCTTCTCCAAGCTGAACAGGCCCAACTCGGTCTCTCCTCACACGAGAGATGTTCCATTCCCTTAATCATCTTAGTTGCTGGACCCTCTCTAGGAGCTCCACGTCCCTCTTATACTGGGGAGCCCAGAACTGCACCCAATACTCCAGGTGCGGCCTCACCAGAGCTGAGTAGAGGGGCAGAATCACCTCCCTTGACACCTCCTCCTGATGTAAGTGTCACCTCCTGTGACACTCCTCCTGATGCAGGCCAGGATCCCATTGACCTTCTTGGCAACGAGGGCACACTCATGGTTAACTTGGTGTCAACCAGGACTTCCAGGTTCCTCTCTGCAGAGCTGCTTTCCATCAGGTCAACCCCTAATCTGTACTGCTTCCTGGGTTTATTCCTCCCCAGGTGCAGGACCCTGCACTTGTCCTTATTGAACCTCATGACGTTCCTCTCTGCTCAACTCTGCAGCCTGTAAAGATCCCTCTGGATGGCAGCGCAGCCTTCTGGAGTGTTGGCCACTCCACCCAGCATAGTATCATCTGCAAACTTTCTCACAGTGCACTCTGTGCCCTCGTCCACATCACTGAACAAAACAACTAACTAAGCAAGTATTTTCTTTCTACAACTTTATCCTTGCTTGGAAGATGATGACTCCTATATATAAAGAAACTTTTTTTGGGAGGGGGCGGTGGTGGAATAGTTGCGCAATCTGGGCTTTGTCCTCAACTCTATTTCTGCTGTCCTACAAATGGCTTAAGCAACTTACTGCCTCAGTTTCTCCATTTATTAAGTAAGAATAGGAACATTTCCTGAGAAGAAATTTGTTCAAAAGAGGTATTAAAGGAGATATGAATTCCTTATGGAGCATAAGGAAGTCAGACACTAGGCTAGAGGCCATGGCACAAAATCTTCAAACAAGTGTGCCAGCTTTTGTATGAGATCCAATAAACTGGCTGCTTCCTAAGAAGGAGGGAGTCAGCTTTACCCACATGCTGGTTATTTCTGACCTGTTTTTATTCTTGAAGCAGCAGTCCTTGCTCACACAGAACTCCCACTGAAGCAAGATAATCTTGTGCAGTCTTGGCCATTTATCTACCTGCATTTGCCCATGGCTGGACTTGTGCCTTAACCTTCCCCTTCCACATGTCCCCTCCTACAGTTCATTTGCTGAGCTTCTAGGTGCTGCCCTCTGATTTTGCCAGTAGAAAGGTCCTACCTACCTATGTGTTGATTGCTTCACTATATTCAGACTGCCTGAAGTTGCTCTGTGCACCTGCTCTAAACTTATTCTCCAAATAGATTATGCTACTACATTTTATGCTGCATTTTTTAAAATGCTTCCAAGAGAAATATGTTAAAATAATCACCATAAAAGAGATACTTGCTGCCTACCCAGGTCTGAAATCCTAATGGTGGAAAAATCCAGCTTTTTGCTCTAAAAGCAATATTGAACTTGAAAAACTGGACATTTGGTATTTTTGAAAATCAGTGTTAGAGGAAAATACCCATGCTTTTTAATTTCAGATGATTCCACTGGGACTCATAGAGTGTCAGACAAGAAAATTGGAAATTTAATCGAGAAAACATATAAACCTAAACTAAATGAACTTCACCTGTTCTGTGAGGATAAATATATACAACATTCATTATCTGTAACTTTTTCCTTAAATTACCTTGCTTTATAACATGCTACCAACCATAACACTCAACAAAACCAAGCAGAGCAAATCACAAAAGCATTAAGCATCAATAGCCAGTAGCAAGAAATCAAATTAAATAAAAAAGAAAGATGGCAATAATTCACCCTCAACATGCACTGAAGCTCCCCATGTTAATACAACATCATGTAGCACAAATATAATTCTCTATTTTTTTAAGGACTGATGCAAGTGGCAGAATGACGTGCACACACACAAAGTATTGCTCAGTACACCAATAAATTATATGACAGCAAACCAACCGTGCAAACACTAATTATACTTTCCTTTTTACTAATTGTCTGTGGTCTCTTTTAAGTCTTTTACTACATGTGCTACAATTTTAAGAGTTTTTGTTGATGTTAAAAATAACCAAAACACTCTCTCTGTCTTCAATTCAAGACCTTTTCTATTTGTACCACTCAGACTATGCTATGCTGGGAGGTTATTATAATCTTGGCATTCATCTCTTGCATTTCTTTCAAAGAATCCACATAAGTAAAATCTGTTGGCAGGAATACTGTTGGTTTAGTACTCAGTAACTTCTCATATATGAGGTACATGAGGCTAAAATAAAGCCCTCCCTATACTGTATTTTCCAATTATTTTATTCTAATACCAGCAGACAATGATAATATAAATAAGCAATGTACTCTTTACTTGAATGACTAGAAGAGGACAGCCAAATCTATGTGAAAGAAAAGAAAGGAAATAGAGGCAGACAGCATGGAGCAATATGACAAGACCCTTTACTGTGGCACCTCAGAGGTTATATTCATGCATTAAAAAACACTGCTAACCTGAGAGAGACTAATAAAACTGCCATGCTGTTCCCCTGCCGTGTTCTCACTCACCTTCTGAGGGCTGAGGAGTCCCACAGGGAGTGGAAGCGGTCTTCAGCTCTTCCTGGGACTCGGTGGATGTTGGGCTGATGCACTTGGGTACCGGTGAGGATGGCGCTGAAGGAGATCTCAGGTTCAAGGACAGCTCACTCCTGCCTCGGCTTACACTCCGGCTTTTCAGCTCCTTCTCATACTCCTCAGCTGCCAACCTCTCCAAGTATTTGTATCTGAAAGTTAAATTCCAAAGGGTTTCCGTAAAGAAAGAGAAGCCTGTCCTTGATGCTTGTTTATGGATGAAACACCTGCAGAGAATGAGCTGACTTCCTGACACAAGGGGTATGGCCCTAAACTGCCTGCTTGGTCAAACTGCCAAAAAGTGCACACCAAAGCAAAGACTGTTCCCCTGAAAGAAGTGAAATTGCTCATGACAAAACAAATCCAAAAAATGGTAAAATTAAACAGTCCTTAGATTTTGCTTTCTGTCTGCATAGTCCTTCTCCTTTTGGAAGCATTTGCCTGCCCTCCTTTTCACTCTCCTCCTCTACCTCCTCCTCCTCGCCCTCCCTCTCCCAAAACTAAAACGGGAGGAGGGAGGCTTCAAAGCCAGATCTCCTTAATACTGACGCAAAAAGCCAAAGTCTGAGACTTGCTGCAAAGACAGAAAAAATTTTCAGTGCAGCAGACAAAAACAGATCTCCCTGAAAATAATACCAATAGTAAATGCTTGGATCGCCTATCTAAAGTCTCTGAACCTGCTTCTATTTGCTCTGAGAGCAATGCACTGGAATTCACTTTGTTCTCTCCAGAGTCTACAATGGAAAGATTTCTTTTTTTTTTTAATTCTAAAAAAATTCTCTGCCGGACTCAGACATCCAATAGCTTGGACCTGACGTCACATGTAGTTTATTCATCAAAGTCACTTTAAAAGAACAAAGATACATCTGTTTTGCATTTTAGGCAGGCAGAACTCACTAACTGTTTATTAAGACCAGCTACCAATCATATTCTTCATAGTGTGCTTTATACATTTCGACCAAAATAACTTTGAAATATGTGCCTCTTCCAGATGTCTGCTAATTTTATCTACCATTATTTGCTGGAGAATAAATTCATGCATGCAGCTGTATTGGGCTCTAGACTGTTTATCTTACCCACAAGTGAACTGTTAAACAGGTTAATCGAGACTACTGCTTATGCCCCTGAAATGCTGTGGTCATCGTCTTATACCCTGCTGTTGTAAACACTTCATAACAGGGAACACCTCTCCTCCCCCATTCTGCTGCTCTGATAGCCCAAATCAGTGTACAAGGGCACATTAAAAGTGGGAAGGAGAAAGAAGCAGCCACATGTGTTAACAAACATACTTAGTACATATGGTAACCACACACATGCACATTTGAAAACATCTATATCGAGCACAGAAACATGTCTTTGAAGAGCAATTCTTGTGTTTTCAGAGGCAATTTGCTTTATTGCAAACAGTAATAATGAATAACAAACTCATTTTCTTTTATTTCTCCAGAGGTATGCACATGCTTTGAACAAATTCTGCAAGAAAAGGAACCCCTACAGGCTGTGGATGTGAATATAACAAGCCACATACTTGTATGGTTATAAAATAGGAATTGTTTAGAGTTCTAACATGAAGCCAATTCTAAAGAATGATTTTGCCCTTTCAATAGAGGAGAAAGCCCTTTGCCTGCATTATCATAGCATTTTGTTACAGTTAATGAAACCAGTCCTCCTTTTAACTGTGGGCAGTTATGTATTGTGGTTTCCCCTCTCCTCAAAAATAGAGCAGATGGGATATAAGACTCATAAAGAGTCATTCAAATTGATGGTTTTGCTAAAACAGGTACAGCACAGCTGGCTGCAATGAGAATTTTTGCAGTTTGCCAGCACACTACAACAAAGATCTGGATGGATCCATCTATAACACGGGGTACTACAATGTTTTTCTGTTCTCAGCTCTTTTGCAGCTGTGTTAGCATTTGAACTTCTGTTACTCTGCACTGCACAATTAACAGCAAGCAGAGGATTATCAAGAAAGGAGGACTATCAGCGGCCTTAAAAGACCACTGAAAGAGAAAAGGTACCCAGAGCAACAACTTCCATTGTTGCAGATGGGTAGCAATACCAAATGGGCAAGCTATTAAACAAATTATGGCAATCTAAATTAGGTAAGCAAGGATTCCATCATTATCCCTTTACACTTGACAAACAACATATATTTCTTTTCCTTCCTTCCTTCCTTCCTTCCTTCCTTCCTTCCTTCCTTCCTTCCTTCCTTCCTTCCTTCCTTCCTTCCTTCCTTCCTTCCTTCCTTCCTT